GCGTGTATATGTAATCGCGGTAGAGGTTCTCGCTCGTATCTTTCCATTTTCGCAACAGGCAGATATTAATCTGGCGGAATGATTTCCGGCAAGTGCGTAACGACCGGCGAGATCGATTCTCCCTCTCGGAGAGTCGGACGCTCAATCGGGCAACCGATTGCGGCCGCAATCGGCGTCGCGCAGTGCCCGCGACACCGAGAGATTGATTATTGATTATTGTTTACGAATGCGAGCCGCCGCCGCCGCCGCTGCCGTCACCATCGCCGCTGCCGCCACGCCGAGTTTCGCGAGTTTCGGCACGGGGCACCCGGACGCTCCGATGTTCAGCGCCGTTCAATGAGAGAGACAGAAGGAGAGAGAGAGAGAGAGAGAGAGAGAGAGAGGCCGCCGCGCGCTGCTAATGCACCACCCGATTCACATTCCGCCAATTTCCCTCGCGAGCGTCCTTCGCGTACGTCTCTCATGTCCGCGGGCGTAAACGGGCGTAAAGAGATCCGACCGGATCTTTATCGTCATTTCTAGCTTTCAGAAGGCTTTTCTATCGAACAGAATCTCTTCTTTTATCAGAGACTCCCTGCTGAGAAACGTCAAATGTTTTGTCTAGATCTTAAAAATTGCGGATCTCTTGACGACATGCATCTTCGAGATCGAAATACCTCTCTTTCTGTGTGTATGATACCTTTCTTTTTTCTCGAATACCATATATTTTAAAACTCCATTATTTGATGGAACAGAAGTACGTCGAGTATAAATCGAGTCCTTGGAACAATGACCCAGTTTTGAAATCACTCGGACGTGCCTTTCGGTGCACATTCTTCTTTCGTCTCTTTCTTTTCCCCTGCGTTTCCGGAAATGCGGTTTCGAAGCGCATTACTTCGCTTTTCTGCACGATATGCGGAGAGCGATGCTTTTAATAGAATTTTTACCAATATATTTTAAGGCGATTCTATTTCAAGTGTCACGATTATTCCCTTTGCTCCAATTACTCTGATTAACCCTGTACGTATATAATTATTCCATCGCGTCATTATTTATAAACTGCGCAAGGTCTGAGAAATTCTGTGCAAAGGATCTACCAGCCTCAATAAATACGTATACCTACATACCTTCTTCTGCGTTTAACGCCACATTCCATCGAATGCGCAATCTTTTGCTTTTTTTTCTCTCTCTCTCTCTCTCTCTTTGCAGCTGTATAATCGTCGACAATCGAACACGCGCAGTACGGTGTATTATATAATCCGGTTCTCACTTCGCGCACGGCTACAAGAATTCATTTCTCGTAATTACTACTGTAGTACCCGGAGTCAATGAATAATCCTACATCTCGGCATCTCGCGGCAAGTATCTCTCAAACGGCGCGGTCGCCGCCGTCTGTGTCATTGAATTTCTAACAGTCTCGCCTAAGTCTTAACAATTCCATCGCCCGTATCTCTCGCTCGCAAGAAAAAAAAAACGCAGCGAGGTATTATTTTCTCGCTTTTTCGCCGGACAAAAATGGGAGAAGAACGGCTGTAACAATTGCAACGGATAAATTGCAGAATATCCGTGTCGGCTTGTGAATTCCGCATAAAGGATCCAGTACGCACGCTCCAATTAACTCAGTTTACGTGTACCGCTGTCACTTCAATTGGATTATATCATTCGGCAGGGAGAAAAAAAAATATTATACTTGTACGTGCGGCATATGGTGTATCGGTACATGCCACTGGTGTGGAGTTTATACGAAAACTGCAACGGGCTATATACGGGATCGTCCGCGAATTCAATCGAGCTGAACTCTCGCGTGCCTGATAATAACGCCCGAAAACCGGATATGCTATAACTATCGCGCTACAACCACTGAAAATAAACTAGATCATAAAAATTGTAACGACGGTTGTACCGTTGCGAGTGTACGTTCACTGAATGGAACGTCGGAAGAATGAAACACGCTGTATATGAGAACGAAGATATTTGTATATAAAGATATAAATACGCAAGTGCACAAAATATTTAAAAAATGTATGAACACTAGAGTTTCCCGTTGTATCGATTGTAACTCCGAAGTGGAAAGGATTCAAATCTATTTTGAAAAGCAATTTATTTGATCTATTAAGTCTCGGGTGACTTACGCTTTTCCGTTTTGAGTGTTTGCGACTCGGATCCCAATCAAAATTTTTAGACAGCAATATTTAGGTAGTAAAACGAGTTGCTCTTTCCGAAAATTCAGTCGACAATGGGATGGAATGTCTGGAAAAGAAAGGTGTAAAGGTTGAAAGTGAAGGAAAAACAGTAAATGACCTCAACTTTTTTGACAAATGGTCAATTAATACGTAATTTTTTTCTACTTCTTTTTACATGGAATAAATCGATATAATTATCATATAAGTAATCTATAATATTTATAGTTTTATATATATATATATATATATATATATATATATATATAAACAAATGAAAACTCGCTTTTTAACTGTGATTTTTACACTGTGATTTAATACACACAGTGTATTAAAGAGCGAGTTTTCGCTTGCTAAAATAATTTGATCCGGCTATGTAAATTTTATTTTTTATCTGATTAAGGAATTTGTTCTGAGAAATATTACGAATTAACTTAGAACGATTATGATAATCAGGGGGATAAACATGTTGAGAGTTATTATAAACATCTTTATTTTTGTAAATCTGGAATCAAGAATGACTCAAATGTCAGTGTGTTTTGTCATACAAAAGAAACATTTTAGCTATGGTAGAAATATATAAATTATTTTTTCTGGCTAAATAATACACGCACACACGCACGCGCACATATTTTATAGCGTTCTTATAAAAATTTTCGGACTCATATATAACTAATAATTTTTAATTTTATGTCATATTTTATGTACGATATGATTTGTAATTCGTCTACAAATCTCTGCTAAACTCAATAATTTGATTCATATTATTATACTATTAATATACTTTCATGTGCAGCAATTTTGCTACATATGTGTATATATATGCCGAACATAAAAAGTTCGATTACTTAAAAGTAAAACTTTAGCAAAATATTAAAAAAAAATCTCAACTTGTCACGACCTATAGAGACTCATAAATGTATTTGATTTCCGTTAAAAAAAATCACAAAATTATAACAAAGGAAATAATACAGAAGGTATGATATAAAAGAGGCTACGATAAATTGCGATAAAATTATTAGAAAACACATATCTATCTACAATAAAATATAATATAATAAGAATAATATCAAACAGAAATGATAATTAAAATCTACGTATTTGTATATATAATGTAATTTGTCTACGTTAAGAAAACGTTTCGATCAAATATATTCCATGGAGATCTGTATAGTTCTAATCCGCGTATCTCGACTCGATCCTTTGGCCGTATTAAAAATGGAATAACTTATATAAAGAGAATTTGAATATGGAACTTATACTGAAAAAAAGTTTCAAAGCTTAGGACCGATTCAAGTCAAATAATGTTCGGGGTTAACTCGGAAAATATTAAGAATTTTTAACAAAATCTGATATTCAGTATTTTCACTAAATTCAGGTCATTTTATTTTCAACAATAAAAGATCTCTTTATACATGGGGTATTTAAAGTGTTATAACTATAATATACATATTTTTTTTTAAAAGCAAATTTTCTTACAACTGCTTTATCTCATTTTTTCTATGCATAAAGTACAGTTATAAAACCAATAGTTTTCGAGATATTTTATATTTAATGTCAAAATATGCCAGAATAAAGTATAAAAAATCTCGTAAATTATTGATTTTTTTATATCTTTACTTTAATACTTTTAAGATAATATGCAGAATAACAAGAGAAATTATATTATATAAAAAAATCATATAATTAAAAAAATGGCGATAATCTTGACAAATTTTTTTGAAAATGATTGATCGCACGATCAATCACCGATTGTCGTCGATCGCACGAGTGCCGCCACTCTACCCTAACGGCAGAAAGGCAGGGCGAAACACCTGGAATTTTATCATTATTTGTCTACCTTCAGATCATATAATTTTTGCTTAAAACATTTTTCGCTACGACGCAAACTTTCAGAGTTATAATAGCTTATAACACTTTAAATGTCCCATAGTACCATGTATTAATTTAGGTATATATTATGCAAATGATATTTTAAATTGAAATAATTAACTTAAAATTAAAAAGATATATTTTCAAGAGTATCTAATATATGTAATACCCAAATTTTAAATTTCATTACTTTAGTTTAAATTGCATTTAGTCTTGTATTTTTCAGTAAAATGTAATATACATTTCATATATAATAATCTATTAAAATAATATATATATATATATTTATATATTGCTACAAATTATCTTAGTTACATATTAAAATTTAATTCAAAGACATGACAATAATTATAAATAATAAAACAGTCTTAAATAAAACAGATTTAGAATATCCTTTTTTTCATGTAATTTTTTTCATTAGCTAGTAAACTATATTTTTAAATAAATGGATACTAACATCCTTCAATGCGATCAATGTAAAGGCAATGAAACTACAGAAGAATACTATAGAAGAGAAATTATAGAAGTATGGATGAAATAGTTATATTACAAAAATAATTGATATGTAATTAAACTGTATGAGGCTATAAATGACTAAAAAAAAAATATGATTGTAATGTAGAAGTACATTAAACTAAATCAAATATATTAATATACTTATTATTTGTTTTGCTGATAACATATGGCCACCAAGAAAGTTTCGTAGATTTTACGATCTAGTTACATATACGCGAAATATATATGCGCGCGTGCGATGTTTTTACACAATCTTACAATAACAAAAAAGAAAATTTCTTCCTTTTCTGTTGGTGTTTTATAAATCATATAATAACAATGTACTACCATACATCGTAATCCTCATTTAATTATTTTTATGAGCTACAACGCAAAATTCATTGATTTGTTAAATAATTAAATCTATTGAGATATTTTATTTTTTGCACACACATTTGTTTTGTGCAAAATATAGTATATATTTTTAGGTACAGAGAGAATGTACCTAAAAAATGTAGAAAAAGTTAAGAGTACAGCACTCCAAAAAAACAAAAAAAAAAACTTTCAGCTAATGTATGAAATATGTCCAAAAAATGCAGAAATCAATAGTATTACACTCTTGCATATACGTGTACATTTTGTTATAATTTGATGACATAAAATCATACAAAACATACAATCTTCTTTATGAAACAGTTTATATTGAGCAAAATTATTTTATCTTTTTTTTTTTAACGATGTAGTGTATATATTATACGGATATTATATTATATCCCTAAATTCTCTCGAATCTCTTGTTAACATTCTGTGTAAGACAATCCATATGTCTGATCGCCATAATGCAAGCACAGAGATACACAGAATAATGTGAGATATGTTGGTATAACATTCATTATACAAGGCAGATATAATTTAATAATTATAATTACAATTTTATAATTATAAAATTTGTATAATGCCAATATAGATAAAAATTGCTTCATATCCACGTATATGCCGCGCCAATGTTATAAAATACTTATTATATGCCTTAGAATTTAACAATTGTCACTGTAAAACTTTTGCATGCAGTGTATATGAGGAAACTTACAGTCTTCATTACTGTAGAACTAACAGTTTTATATAAAAAAAGTCGTACACCTTCTACAAAATAATACATCTTCTTCTTCTAATAGGTTCTGGTGGCTCTAAAGCCGCTAATATTGCCTCATCAAAGACATTTTTAAGTCCTTTCTGAAATATTAAAAAAAAAACAGCTGTAGCGAAAAGATTAGCTAATTGAAAAATAAAAATTCTCAAATCATCTAATTGCGCAACACAATTTTATGAAGAAAGAAAAAAAACTATTAACAACAGATCGCTATCGATCACAATATAAAAAAATAGGTCACTATCATACCTGTGTAAGAGCGCTACATTCAACATATTTCACAGCTTTTAATTCCTTAGCAAGTTTCTCTCCTTGTTCGCCCGAAATAGCCTTTTGCTTATTTTTCGCTAGCTTTTCAATGGTTGCTGCATCATCTCGTAAATCGATTTGCGTGCCAACCAGTAAAAACGGCGTCTTCTGACAGTGATGTGTTATTTCGGGTACCCACTGTTAATACATAAAAATATTAAAGGTACTTAAAAAAAATATTTAAAAAAGAAAATATTGAAGATAAAATACGTGATGTATGTATATATTTGTAACGAATGTTAATTGTACCTTTTCTTTAACATTTTCAAATGATGACGGTGACACAACTGAGAAGCACACGAGAAACACATCAGTTTGTGGATAACTTAATGGACGTAGACGATCATAGTCTTCCTGACCTAAAAAAAAATGACCCAAACATTTAAGTAAATTGCTGCTCACATTTTCTCTTTCTACTCTATTATTTATAACATAATTTAATATACTATTATATATTGAATGTATTAGTTACTGAATATCGTCATATATTAAATATATTAATTATTTTAAAAAACTTGATATTAACAGTTATACTGTAACTTATACTAATGATAATTACCAGCTGTATCAAACAATCCTAATGTATATGGCTCCCCGCCAATCATGACGGTGACTGCATAATTGTCAAATACTGTCGGGACGTATTCCGATGGAAATTTATTCGTAGTGTAAGAAATTAATAAACAAGTTTTACCGACTGCTCCATCTCCAACTACTACACATTTTATTGTCTGCATTTTGGAGTTCTACCAAATGCCTACCTGTGAAAAATAAAAATAACGGTATTTTATTTCCTTTCATCAACATAATTTAGTTGTACAAAGAATGTAATTAGCGATGTAATTAATTAGAATCGCGTTCATTTATGCGTCGTCAATTATTAATAAAAATTTAATGATATTTCGTGTTTACACAACATTAAATATACATATAACAGTTTATTTCATAGTAAAATGTTTGTCAAGTTGATCGTTTGTGTCTCTTATTTTTTATAGAGTAAAATTTTATGGAAAAATAAATTTCTGTTTTGTTTTTCATATCTCGAATTATTAATCGAATATGATTGCACAAGTCACTTGTGCACAAGGCACTTGAAACAAACACGTCACTTCAATGATCCACATTCACATATGGTTATGACACATTAAATGTGTTAGATGTGCTCTCTCGATACTGAGTATTATTTTCACGCCTAGATCGAACGTTAAACGCAACTATACAACGAGATGTAAATAAAGTCTAGCCGGCGACAGTTAACGCGACATCCTTTCGTCTGAAAAAAGTTAATAAACCTGATTTTTTTTTTCTAACCACAGTTACATTCACCAGTGCATAAAAGAAATTACAACGCCTGTAAGAAGCCTCGGACGATCGCGCGATTGGACTCAATTATCGTCACATCGCAACAAAGCGCGGTGCCCGGCGCGGTGACAGATCATAATTGCGTGCAAACCTCTTTTATGTGTCACGAGAATACTGGCGCTCAAGTTGCAGTCGCACCGCGATTATAATTGGCAAAGAATCGACGTGTGCGGCAAACCGTCGTGTTGTCCCACTAACTCGGGAATTCCACTCGCACGTACGTAGGACATGTGTACATCCGAATCGCGAACGCGAACTGCGGATATCCCGGCCGCGCGTTATATTACTGAAAATCTACCGCGACGCGACCGGACCGCGCGAGAGGTGAATCTCGGAGAGGAGGCACCCCCCACGTGAAGTGGCACATCGGCACACCGCAGGCGACGAGAGATATTGTTTTTCGAGTCGCCATTTTGATCGTTATGTCAAATACGCTTCTCCGCGTACGGCGAGGAACGCGCGGCGGGAGTACCGCGTCGACGTACGCGGGGCCGAATTACTCCGGGAGCCCCCCGTGCGTCGGCGACGAGCGTGATCGAGCGGGTCAAAGGTATATACGAAATTTAAATTAAACACTCACACGCAAGGACTGGGCGTCGACACTGTACTGCGCTTTATCGTCACGGAGCCTGCGGTCTCGTTAGATAGACATGGCAGATTGAAGGCGATAGCGCGGCGCGCGATACCCTCCGCCGCGGTCCATTCGTTCGCCGCGCAACATCGAACTGCTGGAACGCGTATCGTGAACGGAAAGATAATCGTGGACGGAGAGAGAGAGATTGATACTCCTTTCGAGGAATTGAAATTTCTTTTGGAACGCGTTGATGTTAGATTTGTTCGTATCCTCCAAAAAAATCCTCCCTTTTTGCATTTAGAACAAGATAAATGTGCATTCGGGCGTTGAAGAGAGAGAGAGAAAAAGCGAAGATTCTGAGTGCAAAAAGTGCACGCGACAGTTCCATTTGAGTGTGAAAGTCTGTCAAGTAATGTCATTGGCCTGCGTGGCCTCGAACGCTTTAGTGATATTTTATCACGATTCGGGTTTCTAGGGTCAGATCCCAGCGAGGAACTAGGCAGGGACCAATCACGTTAAAGAATTTACGGAGCTACTTTCAAGTGCTTGACAGGTCACTTCTTGAATGCGCGTCGTTTTCGGTACTCCGGTTTCACGGTTTTGTAAACAATCGCGATTGTGACAATTGTCACCGAGAGTGGGATATCGCATCAAGAGAAAGCTGTCTTGGCATTATTTATGCGATTGATAAATAATTTTCTGAAAGTTCGAATTTAAGGAAATCCAAAAATGCCCCTGCCAGCGGCGTTAGCTGCACGTCTTGCGAAAAGGGGGTTAATCGCCGGATCCGAAAAGCATGGTACGTTTATTTTTCGAAATATAATTAAACACATTATTATTGTAGATTTTCTGTATATCCAATCAATTTCCCCTTTCAATTGATAAAAAGTGATCATATCAAATCTTGAAGAATTGTATTCCACATGTGCATTTGTAATGTTAGGTTAGGTTGTGGTGTTAATTTTACAGAATCCGGGAAGAAAGAAGCCAAGAAGAAAGTGCATGAAGAAGTAATAGCCGAGGATTACGATAATACAAAAGATGAGATTAACCAGATTGACATATCTCAAAAATTTATGGTAAATGTGCCTTTTAAACTCTTACGAGACTCGTGAACTCATAAGTCAATACTCGTGCCTTCCACTTACGCAATGAAGTAACGGTTTGATTTATTATTTAAAAAAAATATTTTATTTAGGGTTACAGTGGCTGCCCTAATAAATACAATATTTATCATGAATGTACAAAAAAATGTAAGGAGTTATGGGGAGCGGGACAAGTGCAACCTTCAGACAAATATTTGAAGCTACAAATGAGATTAATTCAAAAGTATCCGTTGCCCGAGACTTGGAAGGCCGTTTATGATCCCGGATCGTAAGTATTAATAACTTCTTGTTCCTGTATGGATAGAATTCATTTTTCTCAAGAAATAACTGCTGATTTTTTTGTCTTTTTGATTATTTAAATGTCTTTTTAATAATATCTAAATCTCTAATCACTTTTTAAAAATAATATTGAAGTATCTAATATTTATGCTGTCTCATTGTATATGATATTACATAGAAAAATATCTATTTTATTATTTCTTTCCGTTCACAGTGGACAACATTATTATTGGGATTGGTCATCTGATTTGGTATCTTGGTTACCGCCTGGTCATCCCAAATGTCAAATATCGCAACCAGCGTCCCAATTACGTGAAGAGTTGCATTTGAAGCTAGGGGATCAAGATGACAACATGTCAAGTGACGACAGCACCAGCGATCAAGAGCAAATGGAAGTTAGTAATTGTATTTTTTGTTTAATTATAAATTTGAAATTTATGTTGTACCATTTACAATTTACGACTAATATAACTGTGATTATTTAGGTGGAGGAAAGTGAGCCTGTCAAAAAAGATAGGAAGATCGAAAATCGTGCGAGATACAAAGGACCGGATAATAAAAGAATTTACAGATCTGACAGAACCGATGGTAAAGATTCCAAAGATCGTACTTTGGATCCTATGGATCCTGCATCCTACAGCGATATTCCTAGGTACATATTCCTATTTACAAATGTTTGCTGATTAAACGTGTGCGTACTTCATATAATTTTTATTTACGTATAATTTACGCATTGTAGGGGGAAATGGTCGGATGGATTGGCTAAACATAACGAGGCTAAAACTGGCGCCGATACGACCGCCTCGGGTCCTCTTTATCAAATGAGGCCATATCCCAGTCCAGGCGCGGTGCTTCGCTCTAATAGAGCCAATAAAGCAGACTCGGAATCGTCCAACAAGCCACCGAAAGTTGCGTTTCCTGAAAAGCCAGAATAAATAAATACACTTTGTGATAACAATTACTTAATTTTATGTGATTTCGTTAATACATTAAAATATATTTAACGATAATTATTCTGCACGAGATAACATTTTACTATTGTAAAATGTACAATAAATACTTTTAGACTAACGAGAACACTATGCCTAATAATTAATATTTTTTTCACCAAAATTTGTCACAATTTTTCGATATTCAGTTCACTATCCGCATATAATCCGTTTCAATTTTTCTAAAAAATTAATCACAAATTTAGGAATGAATAATAGAGAGTAATAAATTAAGAAATTGATTTTAAAAAATATCTAAAAAATATATTTATTTGTCCCTTATTATAAAAATCTCAGATTCATAAATTTGTGAAATTGTACACGAGAATTTATGCACATACAAATTAATTTTCATAAAGTGACTATATATTTATCAGAAATTGCCTTTATGTTTGAGTTTAAAGCATCATTTTTATTTAATGTTAAAAACATATTTAATGATAACAAATTCTTTAAAAAAACGTTTATTTAATAATAAAAATACGTTTTATTAAATAAAAAAAAAGGTTTCTTACTATGTTGAAATAAATATTTTTTAATGAAAAAAAGAGAAAGTATCCTATTAACTTTAACGCTTTTTAACATTCCTTTTTCATTACTAAAAATGTTCTTAAAAATGTTTAAAAAATATTTCTTTGTTTAGGTTAATGTTACCGTTATTTGTCACTCTATCAGCTTTACAGTTTTTATCTGAAAAATTTTTCTTCAAGAACGCTACCTTTTCAAAGTAATTACCTGATAAGCGATATATAAAATGAATCATTCAGTATACCACACATATGAATTATAACACATTCAACAAAGAAATATTTTTTAAACGTTTTTAAAAACATTTTTAGTAATGTAAAAGGAATGTTAAAAAGCGTTATAATTAGCGGGCTACTTTCTCTTTTCTTCATTAAAAACATGTAAAAAAATGTATTTAATTTACGTTTGAAAAACATTTTTATTTAGGTATCTATAAGATGCTTTTTTTAAACGATATTAGATCCTTGAAGTAATTTTTATACAAAATTAAACAAAACTAAATTGTCAAAACACATCTCATTTACTCATCTTAAGCATCCAGCTGTTAAATTATGTGCGATCTGATAAAGAAAATGTCTAGTAAGAAAAATCGCATCGTGTGTCTCAGGCTTTAAAACCAATTTTAAGGGTTTTAAATCTCTAAATTATCCTATCACTTCGTTAGAACAATTATCATATCACTTCGTGCAAAATTATAATGCTATACGCTGTTTACTCTATCTGTAAAGTTTTTTTTCACGAGAAATAGAACTACGTCGCGTCCATTTGTCGCGTGTACTACTCGCGGATAAGCGAATCTTAAATATTAAATTAATATTAAATAAATGGTAAATAATAAATGTTTTTTTGAATTCCTTTCATTACTTTAAATTAAATAATTAACTAATGTAAAATAAATATAAAATTAATTAATGTTGAATAAAATAAATGTTAAATAAATATTTTGTAAGATTATTACTTCACGTAAGCAATTAACGTAAAATAAATATTAAATTAATGTTGGATACGTGTTAAATAAATGTTTTTTTCATATCGTTATCACAAATAAATTATTAATGTAACATAAATATTAAATAAACGCTTAAATAAACATTAAATAGATATTTTACGTAAATCAGTTATTTCAAATAAATATTTTTTACAATAAATAGTACAATGTATAATTAATGAAAAATATATTAAAATACATTATCTGTTAATTGAGAAGAGTAATTATAAATTTATTGATTATATAAATTTATAATATTGATAAAATATACGCTGGTGTATTCGGAAGAATCGTCATTTATATAATTGTCACGCTTTAAAATGTAAATTAAGTTTTACGAATCGATTGAAATCAAATATTTGAAATATATAATATCGAATTTAATTTGACATTGCATCGCGAAAGATTTTGCATCAATAAAAAAATGAAAGTTTATCATATTAACGATGTTAATAGTCACCGCCGTTAGAATTAACGTAAACATCACAAAACCCATCTTTTACAAGCAAGTTTCAAAAATCAGTATTATCTTAAAGTAATCGTGTGAAGAATGTAAAGAAAAATCATTAGCTAGAAGTTCATTAATAATAAGTGTTTATTGAATATTTGTTTTTGCGCGTGTTTTGCAAATCGGGAGATCTAGCGATGAGGATTTACAGATATCCCGGTGCACGTGTTGTAACGATCGATAAATCGGGCGTGCACGAACTTTCATACGCGTCTTTATCTAATTTCGCTCCACTCGACGGCCGAAGGAAGATAAAGCCCTCGGCGGGATGCCCGCGAGTGAGGAAGGAGTGAGGGACTTCTCCGATCGGCGGAATTTATCATAAATGCCGTTACCGTGGTGCAGACAGTAGTTTACTGTATTTCGTCCGAGCGGTGTTGCGCGGCCTCGCACATAAAAAAAAAAAAGGTTTCAGCGTCTTCGGACGGGACACGCGTGGGAGCCGCGGCTCGGCTCGAATCCGCGCGATATTTACGCGAGGATGAGTATCGGTGTCGCGTCGGCGGTGTTCGTCGCTTTGGCGTGCGCGCTCGTTGACACTGTTGACAGTGCCGCGGGTTTGGGACACGCGCGATTCATCAATGGTGAGTTATGCTGTCAACACACGGATCAATTGTCGATTGTCACGAGTGTTCAATCCGCTCACAACTCCAATTTCGCTCGCACAGCCTCGGGAGTAAAATGCTCCGAAAAAATATATCTCTGGGGATCTAAAAGATTTGTATTCTCGAGCGATTTCCGCGCTAGCTGTCTGCCAAAGCCACACAATTGGCTGCTACTTTGCATATTGGGACGTGGCGAGGCGAAGAAAAAGAAATAACGGAATAGAGCGATGAAAGAGGAAGAACTCACGTACGAATCTCATGATGCATACGTATGTGATTGAAAAAGTGAAATGAGGAAACGGATTTTCAGCACGTCCTTGTCGCATGTAAATGAAATATTAGGCGTGAAAATCGAAGTGCGTAAAGAAAATCAGGCGTGACAGGTTGTCGGATGCGCGCGTTTTGTAATTAACTAAAATTTTCACGTCGTTTTCGCTCTAATGACCGCGGCACTGATACAGAGCGCAAATGTGGTTTTCTATAATGAATTTGTTCGTTGAGAGAATACTTTTATTTTGAGAGAATACTAGTTGTTTTCAACAATTTTGTAAATATAAATGTCCATAATCTCTTATCAGAGATAATCTTAAGACACATTTCGTATCGTATATTAGTATTGATTTTGACGTTTTCTGTACACGAATCACGCGCTATAATCGAGATTTTTAGTCCAAGATAATTACGGAGATAATACATGTAATATGTTATCACTGCAGGAAATGGAAAATACAACGCAAAATATATGCGCCAAAAATATAACTGGAAGTACATTAACGAAGTTTCATTTACTCGAAAATATGTTTTTGTACAATGACAGACAAAGGTAAAGATAAAGATGTTTCGAAACGTTGGAAATACATATATATGTACAGAAAAACATATATTTGCCTCCCTATTAAGAAAAGAAATGAAAAGACGCAGAATGTGACATCGCGCGATTATATCCCTTTACTTATATTCCTAATTTATGACGAAAATTTAACAAACTAAAATACACATACAAGTAATATTGCCCTGATGAATTTTTTCGTAAAATTCTTTACATAATTTTTCAAGACTTTTACATAAATTTTATAACTTTTTAAAAAATTTCTCAGATTTTTTAATACGAATTAGAACACTATAGGAATGCTGAACACAATTTATATCTTCTCTGGAATTCTTTATGACTTATAAATTTTAAATATTCTAAGATTTCTTATTTTATAATTCTTATTTTATAATTTTCTCTTAAAAAAATGTATAAAATGTAAAGAAGTTTAAGGCATTTTTAAAAAGAAATCTTCGTAAATTTAAAAAATGAAAAATTTTTTTTTAAATATTGTTAGATATTATGTAGATATTATATACAATATTATATCATTAGGTATAAGAATTTTTTGCATCAGACTAGACTTTTACGAAAAAAAATATTTATAGCACGCTTATATATAAACTTACAGTTTATATATAAGAAAAGAATCTTATTGTTAGAGAGATAAAAAGTTTAATTCTCTCCATCTTTCACGAACATATAAATTTCACTATTTTACTTAATACAATCAGCTGAAGCTCTTGAAGCCTTGCTTGTTGGATTAGACGGAAATCCGCCTGCGATCTCGCTTCTCACGGAGAATGGCCCAGTTTCGGACGGCACTCGCGACTGGACTCATCAGCTCTTGCTTACGGAGCAGGACAATGCCGAGAAGAACTGCTCGGATCTGCGTTCGATCGACGAGTTCCCGAAGGTGTTCACGTACGAGCAGCATCGCCAGGGTGTCGTGGTGCTCCACATACTCTTCGGTTTCTACTGCTTCATCCTGACGGCGTTCGTCTGCAACGATTACCTGCTGCCGGCGCTCGACATCATATGCACGCAGCTCAACATCAGCACCGACGTCGCCGGGGCGACCTTCCTCGCCACCGCGAGCTGCTTCCCCGAGCTGTTCGTCAACGTCGTCGGCACCTTCCTGACCGAGTCCGATCTCGGGGTCGGCACCGTGATGGGCGGCGCGGTTTTCAACACCTTCGCGACACCGGCGTGCGGCGCGTTATCGTCGATGCACGTAAGTATATAATGCTCAAGCACGAGCGCTCATATAAGGATTAGCATGGAGCGGGCGATGATGAAAATCTCTATTGAAATCCCCGCTTTTATGTAATGCGCGTATAGACAACTGTGCTCCACTTTATTCTTAGTCATACTTGTGTTTGAGACGAAACGGTGTACGTGTAATATATTCAGATATCGCAGAAAATACAAGAAAGCGAAAAAAAATGAAGATGCTTTTAATTTCATGCTGATGCTCGACGCATTTTTAGTGTAAAATTAAATCACGTGATCGTAGTTGACGCTGGCTTGCACGAAAAGCGGCAACATCAAATTTAACGTTAATCGTCACGTTCTTCTTTTTATTTATTTATTTATTTATTTTTTTTTTTACAAGGCACGTTGAAAGCCAACATAGCGTCAAAGTCGAAGTCTGCACGTGACTATGTATAACACTGAAACGAGCGTCTCATAATTTGCATCTTAAAGATACGATTTCATGCTAATCACGCTCGACGCTCATTTTTAGCATCAAAACAGAGCACATGATCCACATTGGCGAATACCAAGCATCAATTTTGATCATGTAATCTATTTTGACGCTAAAAATGAGCGTCAGTATGAAAAGACACCTTAAGAAGGAGTTTGTAAGGAAATTCATTCTCCGCTTATTTTTTTGCAAAGAAGTTGAAAAAAGAAAAAAAAATTTGCATGACCTTTTGTTTATCGCACGTGTACCATGTGAATGTCGCAACGCAGAAACTGGCAAGCTTCCAACAATTGTGTCAAAATAACCAGTAAATTGGATAATAACGTTGATAATAATCCTGATAATAACGCCAATAATGCAAGACAATTTTATGTAAGATGCACGAGTAGTTTCCATGCATAGTTTAAATCAAACACCTGTACGGAATTGTTAAAATAAAAAATATCGCGTTCAGAAAAGAAATTTTTTTACGAAAAAAAAGATCTTTGCGGGCTAATTCCCGGCATGAACGATGTCAGTAAAATTCACACGTACATTATTTATGTTATTTATCGATATGACGCGTGTTATCGATATGCGCTACTTATCTGGCTGCTTATCCATAATGACGGCCTCGATTATTTAACGATTATTGTCTTTGCGACGTAATGTCTGCTATCGTTTCTGCCGATACATATAGCGATATGATATATTGTCTGAAATTTTATTTGTCATTTATTACTTATTATAGATCATAGATTATTTTACCTTATCCATCGATCTCTCAACTAAATTAAGAATTAATTATAATTATATTAAAGACAGTTTGAAAAGCAAATTTAGTTTTCAATTGACGTGCTATGAGTCATTTCGTATAACTTAGCAGTTTCGTTGCGTAAAAGTTACATTTTTCTTTAATTAATCGTTTTTTTTTAAGAGTAAAATTTGTAACGTTTGTTACGAAAAATAAAATATATTTATTACAATAAACGTTATTACGAACGTTGATTCTTAAGGAATTGGATATTAATTTAAAAAAAAACGTAAATCTTATACAACAAAAATGCGAAATGACTTTAATTAACGCGATAATTAAAAACTAAATTTGCCTTTTCAACTTTCTTCAATACAATATAATGAGAATTATCTAATCATGACTGTCTATTAAGATTTGATAATTCTGAAATATGACTGTGATTGGAATTAGATTAGGTTTTTTCCCTCTTTTATTATGAAGTGCCATCACTTAATATGAAGCAGCTGTTGCGAAAGGAAGAAGGGGACGGTATTAAACAGATTACACAGTGCCAGAAAATGATACACGAATATTTGCAACCTTAAATAACGCCTCGCGTATACATTATCGTCTTCTATTGCTCGTGATTACCTTGATGACTGCAACTCATTGTTTGCGAAACTCTAATTCGAAGTAAAACTGTCGCCCGGATTCTCCGAAATCACGAGTAAAAAAATGTTCTCACGAGTTCGCACGTTGAAGCGATTACAGCGTTTCTTCGGTTTAATGCGCGATGGTGTTTCTCAGAACCAGTTTCTTTGTTTCATTAATCTATAGACGTAGAAATCACCTACAATAGTAAACATGACACAACTTGCGAAAGAAGGTTCATTACATCATCAGTTATAAACAAACTGTAACATGACTTAAAGTAATATACCCAGACAACATAAAGTCTAAAATTGACGCATAAGATGTCTTTTAGATATTTTTTAGACACTTCTGAGAACTATTTAAAAGGACTGAAATAGGCATTTTATGCATCGAGTTTTAGACTTTGTGTTGTCTGAGTAAAGGATTCACGTTTATATGCGATGAAAATTTTATTGAAACATGATGATTCACCTCACTTCATTTGAACGTCCTGATTTTTAGGGATTTAAACGGAGATTATCTGTCCGAACCTAAATGAATAGCTTTATTTATTTAATCTAACTCGTTTATCTAACTCGTTGGCACATACTAAGATAACAATTCTATGGGAAGGAATTGCATCATAACACTTCTTGAGAACGATGCAACAATGGTCGTCGTCCATATTATTGTTACGATATCTGTTGATACATCATGATAATGACATTCCATTTAACGTCGTTTATTGTACTCATGAAGATTACTTTTACAATCTCGATCATCCCGAGTAAGAAGCTCATATCTCAAAAACGAGAAAATTCTTAACCATCGAATATGAATTGTCTACAAAGCTTTACTCTTTAATGACTGATGTTGACCTAGAATCATAAGTCGATTAGACGCACACTCTGCCGAAGATTCTGTGAATTTCATTTTATTTATAGATATTCTGTCAGAACGAATAAATAAAACATAAAACATATTTACAAAAATGATTTGAGAAATTTAAATTTTATACTTACGTGTGGAACGAACGTGTGCTTATCTTTAAAATTTCTAAATACTTTTATCTTTCTAGAATTAATAACTAATTGCTAATGACCGTTTTTGAAAGATGCAAAATCCATATGTAATTTCTATAATTTTGACAGATAGAGCGCAATCAATATTTTGTTATTTTAGTCCAATGCGAACAAGTTTTATTGTTAATTTTTTTAAACATAGTTTGGGATATAAAAATATAGAATTCTACCAATTATTTCTCTCTTTCTCGCTTTCTCTTTCGTTATTAAATGTTAAAGTGTAACTATACAGACTAGAAAATTGATTAAATTCAATAAAGCAAATGTCGAAAATAAATGCTTATTCAAGTGTTAGATCGTGCGATATTAGGTAATAAAAATGCAGTATGTGTAAAACTATGTTAACTCTATAAGGTCGCTGATTTCATAAATGATAGTCTGTTTTGTGCTCATCATGCAAATGATATATGCTTTACATTACATTTTTATGCTTTACATTGCATTACAGCAGAATTTTTTCCTGATGTCGTATTCGATAAATATTAATAAACTTATTATTGTCCACTTTATCTTTGCGAATACTGTAATAAATTTCAACGCAATTATGCGCGCGTGTAACGTGTTATCCGTTTTATGATACGATATTTATACGCAAAACAATTGTTTATTTAATTGAAATGATTTTTCATGTTTTCTTCAACAGGCAATACCATTAGAATGGCGAATATTGACTCGAGATTGTGTACTTTACGTGGTGTCGGTCGCCGTTTTGGTGATCATAATGTGGGACGGCATAATCAAATTATACGAAGCGATCATCCTCATGATACTGTTGATCAGTTATTTGACGCTATTATTTTCCAGCAAATGTATTGTGCGTTGGCATAATAAGCTCGCGCACCTGTACACTTGCAAAAACCGCAGTACCAATATTACCGAGGAAGAAAGTAAGTGCCATTACTCTAATCTTGAAGTTACTTGTCTTGTGTAATTTCCACATACGCTTTTCTACCAATATCTACCTTCTAAAATAAACTAACACCAGCACCTCGCCTGTGTGTATATTACAATATTTTTTTTTGTCGAAATTCTATGTCGACTTTTCACATCAATATATCACTATAGTATTTCTATGACGTGTTTATATAAAACAATTTATATAAGTCCATTGCAACAAGATAATTTAATGATGTATTCAATATTTTAAATAATATTTTAAATATTATATGTATATATATTAAATAATATATATATAGCAAAATATATTATATATTTTTGTTATATAATAACAGAATATTGTTTATAATATATAAACGATGAAAAAAACAATTGATATTTTTATGTTTAAAAAAAATTCAAATCATTTTTTCTTGAATTAGTATATCTGTGACGATATATGTTACGGGCATTGATTTTGGAGATATTATTGCTTGAGTGAAATCTAGCTAGAAGTTCATTTTCCCGAAATATCTTTCACCTTAATATTTGTAATACTTGTCGATAAGTGATGGCGTAATTCAGTACAATCGCGCATGTGTTTGTTCAAAGCTTTAAGGAGATATATGTACATGAACCATATATATATGAATTTTACATTTTCATTATTCAACAGCTTCCAAAAGCAATGGAAATTTTCTTCTTTTTCCTCGTGTAAAACAGGCTCTAAGCCTATTATACAGGGTAGAAGAAGAAGACTTGTAACACTTGTCGATAGGTGATGGCGTAATTCAGTACTCGCGCATGTTTTCATGTTCAATACTGTAAGGAGATACATACAGGAGACATGGATCATATGTATGAATTTTACATTTTCCTTATTCAAGCAGCTCCGAAAAGCAATGGAGAGTCAATGCCCGATGGCCTGTACAGACCGTATTTCCACGGCGAGCTCGTGGCGGAGTACAGAAAAAGCATAGCAAAACGGAAGCCTTCCGTTAATAGCGTGGAGACGCAGAATCACGTGGAAAAGATAGAGGAGTATGTGGAACCAGGTACAACATACGTGCATTAATTTCCGCGCTATACACGCAACTCGAATGAATTAGACTCTAATTGGACATTATATATATTACGATAAGCAATGACCAAAAAAAAAAAAAAATTGTTTGGTAAATCGCTTGTAAACGCTCGTTTTTAGATACCCCATTTGTATGGCCGACCGGCGGTAGACTAGCCAAAATATGGTTCTACTTCGTTTGGCCATTAAAACTAATATTGTTCGTTACCATACCGGACAGCAGGTATAAACGGTGGAAAAACTGGTATCTGCTAACGTTCGTCATGTGCGTGATATGGATCGCGGTGTCCTCCTACCTGACGTCGTGGATGACGACCGTCCTCGGCGACACCATCGGGATCCCGGACTCCGTGATGGGTATCACGTTCCAGGCCGCCGGTGGCAATATGCCAGAGCTCGTCTCGATCGTGATACTTTCCAGGCAGGGTAAGCTGCAATCTCGCCAAAGTGCAAATAAGGAATTAATCGGTCTCTAAGATAAATATATGCTTATATACTCAGATCGACTCTGCTTCCTCGCAGGTAACGGAGACATGGCTATGAGCAACACGCTGGGCGCGAACACGCTCGACATTCTGTTGTGCCTCGGTCTACCGTGGATGATCAAGATCCTGATGAGCCGGAAGGACGTCACGATCGTCTCGGGCGCCCTACGCTTCAGCGTGCTCTCGATCGTCGTGTGCGTGATCGCCTTTTACGCGGTCACCGCGTTGTACAAGTATTGCCTCAACAAGAAAGTGGGTGCCATTTGCCTGATATTATACGCGATATTCTTGGTTTTCGCGCTGTCATTCGAACTGAACGTCTTCTACCCGGTGAACTTGCCTATGTGCCCCCCTTAAAATATGCCGTTCTACACGAATATTTATTACTTCCTTATTTAATTATTAATAATAAGTTATTTAATAACTTCTTTTTTCAACACAAGGAAAATGAGATTAAGCGAGAATGTTGCTTTTGTTCAACTTTCACAGATGTACTCAGGACACTAAATGCAATGACAGAAAGTTCCTACGAACATTAGATCGGGATCACTGACCTCTTTTTCGTTGTCACTATTCGCTATCATCTGCAGCTCTTATGGCGAAGTGTTATAATCTAAATATTTTCTTCCATTTTGGTTTTCACGTGTTATTTATATTTTATTTTTACGAAAAAAAAGACAAAATCTTTCGACATAAAACTACCGATCAAGATATTGTTTTGTATATGGTAGAATAAGTTTATATAGTTTGTAATGAAACTATTTTATTATAAATATAGAAATAAAAAGAGAAAAAAAATTTTTTAATGATTGCCCTGTGGCGATTCGGGATTCTGCAATTAACTTTGAAAATTAATTGACCATCGATTGATGATATAACGTTGTTTTCGATGTAGGTACTCACGCGCGTGCGATATTCGGTCAACAAGGAAAAATCGAATGTCCTAACATTCTGGTTGGGAGAGGAAGTTTTTACAGTTTTTTTATTATAAAAATTATTGTATGTATATATAATTTATACACTAGATGTTATATATAATGCTGTAAATCATGAAAAGACGCAAAAGTGTACTTGAAGTGCCTATATTTTTGAGATGGGCGAACTATTGGCAATCTAACGAGAGTCCGTATCTTTATTGCTCGATTGTTATTGCTAAAAAGTGAATTTGGTTAATTTAGTACTATTAAAAAAAAAGAAAGAAACGCGATGCTCGCGCACCGAAATACGTGACTCTGAAAGGGATTGCCGTTCGGAAAAATTGTAAACGAGATGTGGATCTCGATAATTATAAAGATTGCCCATCCCAAGCTTAATGTACTACAGTAGGTATAAACCGGCCGGAACCGGCCGTTTTATATTTACAAGCGGATGACATGACATTTTTTTTTTCTCCTTGATGTCTTGATCTATTTCCGCATTTTACGAGCACGAAATATACAACTTCGAACCATCCTTTTCCCTCCCGTGTACTCTCACCCCTCTCCCCCCCCCTCCCGTTATTGAAATGCTCTCGAATCGTCGGTAGTGGCGATGGATACACGCCAATTATCATAACAATGGTCCCTAGGATCACCGAAGACGCGCTCAGCGATAACAGCGAGATGCCCATCGCGGCATTGGTCCCCTTGGTCATCCAGGATGTCGCTATGAGTGACCGTGGATGGATATGCCCAACGACCATCAGGATATCCTCTTAAGCAATGGGCATCAGCGGGATGCTCCTTGGGTAGGTCATTCTAGGTCACTTCATGCTCTTAAAACGTGGAAACGTGGGCGATAAAAATATCATGACGACTTCATTAGACTTTATTTAGTTTTTCATTCGGCATATTAGAAGGACTCAGCGCGTCGGAAATACTTTTTTTTCCTTTTTTTTTTTTTAATCCATTTATTTGCTTCGTCGACTCGGATATTGCTTGTCTATGGCGTCGCCCCGCATATACTCTCCCTTTCTCTACATATCGTAATAATAAAGATAACGGCGGACTTGCCTATGCGGCGCGGTCAGCGGAGATCTACGCACGTGTATCCTATTTACGGCGCGTAAATAGGCGGTAAGTAAAGTAGGCGTTTGGAGAGAGCGCAATATAGGCCGCGGCGGACAATATTGCGCGCGTGTTTCTTCTATTTATCGTAATAAATCGTATTACGGTAAAAGAGTTAAGAGTGCGTAAAAATCGATATTTCTCGAAAGAATCATAAGAAACACACGGTTCGCTTAACATCGCGTCCTTGTCCTTTGTAACGGATATCGACATGCACTTGTGACGGTTGACCGTTAGCACACTCATCTCCTTCACGGACAATACTAATTAAATCAGTAATTTAATTCGTCAAAAATTGAATCGATAAGATATCGATCTAATCGGTAAGAGTTATCCTCCTCGTCGAGGATTGGCATGATGAAGAAAGAAGTTTCTGTTTACCTTATAGAAAGCGAACAATCGAAACTGGTCTTTGGCAGTATCGCCTCGAGATCTGAAATTTGTCTTATCTGGATTATCGCGAAGCCTATTTCTTTTTATTCCTTTTTCATCGCGATCACACGCCCGTCCGAGATTTTAATATTAATCCAAACATATCCCAGCGCAATGTTATAATCTTTATTGAGATGCACATGAAATAAATGTAACACAAAGCGACGACAAAAATACAAATGTATAGGAAATCTAAATCTGAACAAAAAAAAATAAAGTTAAAGCACAGAGATTCATTTTGTAAAATATCGTATAAATAATTGAGTATATAAATCTATTAAATAATCAATGCTAAGAAATCGTTCTGCCCACCGTGATTTTAACTCTTCAACTCATTCGATCTGCAATATATTATAATGTAAGCCACCTCTGAAACAAAACGAATACGAAGCAATAATTGCAAATTAAAGATTAATTTCTGTAAATACATCCTTCCCGATCTGTAATCTTAGGACGGATTTTAGCGGTTGTAAAGTGCGATACAGAGGTTTGATTTATAAGAGCCGATGGTGTATTAAAATCATATTTGAATGAACGTCAGATTACATTTGTTTACCGTCGCATTATTTTAACCCTTACACGCTGATAGGCGTGTTATCGATCTCTCGCTGTTCTCTCCGCACGTTTTTCAGGCACGCTTTAGGTACTAATGCCGTGTTTTCGTTATCCCTGATAATTCTCGATGTTCTTTTCGATCGCAGGCAACGTACGCAGTACAACGACGTGATCGTTGATAACGGAAACGATTCTTGTACACATCGTGCATAGACGATTTGCATTGCGACTGGTAATTTGAAGATAAAACTCCTGTTTAGGAAAGAAACTCCAGTGACCCTGATTTTTACATATCGCTCGATTGCTACAACAACGACATGACTACGAAATAGTTATTTTTCTAGTTCGCAAAAAAAGGAATGTAAAGAAAAAAAGAAAGAATATACTTTAAGAGAATACATTTTTATTCCTCTATAATGAGTCATACCAAAATTTTATTTCAAAATTAATGTTTTATATCACGTAGCACGTATTTATTTTTTAAATGCATGGTGTAAAAAACTACGTTTTATTTATGAAATTTTTTTGTTAACAATTTTTTTTAAGAGAGTAATATAAAAAAGGCGTCGAATCGAGCGTAATAAAGTAGCGTTCAATAATATATATTTAAAACTTTTAAAATTAGTTTAATAATAAAATGAACTAGATGTGTTTCACCTCTCTCTTTGTCATCTACAGCGTGTGCTTACAATTTTATGCAGAGAAGCAATACAGTTTATATAGAAAAACTGCGTGAGGAGAGATCAAAAATAAAAAGGCTGCTTGGCAGCAATACATATATAGTCGACATGGTTTCCACTGTAAAAATTAAATTAATTGTGACAATGCAAGAAATTAAATTTCAAACTTACTATAAAAACTTAAACTCACCTTGGGATGAACAGTCGAAATAAAAAGCAGTCAGAAATTAACGATGATAGAGAGAGTAAAGTAATCAATATTGAATCCGAATATGTCAAAAATTTCGAATAAATGACGGCAACGATAAACAACTTAATTAAAATTAAAGATGTAAAAAGTAAAAATTAAAAAACTGTTTACCTTTTCTCTACTGTAGTAATAATTTTTAAAATAAGATAATCTCATTTTTAAACATAATTTTTTAATAAACGCGAGCGGTGGCTAAAACCTTTTTAATTGCTATTCCAGAAAGATCATCTTTATAATATATGTCAAGATAAAGGCCATTGGTTCCTCTAAACGGGAGTTTTATTCTTATTCGGAAATGTTAAAAAAAAAAAACAATGTAGAATGCCGAGACCCGTGCATTGATGACGATTATTGCTCGATGCCTTCCGCCGATGAGATCGCAACGTGTCGGTAAGTACATATTGCTACGCGAATACTATATAATTCGTTCGATACTTGGTGCGCGATATTTTATTTTAATTATTTTTTTTTTATTTGTCGTGACATGCACTCCTGTTCATCACCTTCAAATATTTACATTGGAACCTACATCGCTGTACCTATGTGTAATATGTCACGCATGTCGGACGAAAGTCTGGCTTGAAGGGACCGCATTGCGGGCGCGATAAAAGTGTACTGGCAGCTTCCATTATCCCCCTTTTTTTTCTCCTTTTCCGTGAGCACATGCGACATTGTACATTTCCAAGAGGCTTGGCATTTATCATTGAGTTGACAAGATTAAGTGGAATGTCAATAATATCGATATGGTATGCTAGGAAAACTCCCGCACGCGCGTAAAAATGTGAATCTGACATATTTCTCATTCGAAAGGGAAGCTAAAAATACATGATTACAGATGATCAACGGTATTTCGAGTCGAAAGAGATTAGATCTTGGCGCGTCGATCGGCGTGATCGCGCCAAGAAGAGATTTCGTCGACGCTTTTCGTTCGAACTAATTAAAAAAAGTTGATAAAATCTGCATGTCCAAAGTGTGTGTACGTGTGCACGACTTTTTTTTTATGTTTGCATACATTTATAAATACGTACGGATTATCATTTTTACGGGAGCGAGACATTTTCTCACGATCGCGTACACTTGAGCAATGTTCCGAATGATCGGCGAAACGGCGCTTGGTTGGCACGAGTCGCATCTGCTGATGACACTTCGTCATTTTGGCATGAGGGAACGGCAAAGTAAATACCGAAAGAGAATATTGCTCGATGATACTTCGCATAAAGATATAATTGTAAATTATTACCAACCTTGTGTGTGTGTGTGTGTGTGTGTGTGTGTGTGTGTCTCATTAAAATAAACGATTCATCGAATCATTCTTCAGAAATATCCTGCGTCTCTCATTTTACGGCGAAGCGAAGCGAAAAGCTATCGTGTGCGGTAAACAAACGGACGTGTCTCTCGATAGAAACGGTCATCTATCCGAGATCGTAAAGAGATCTTTTATATATATATAGTGTCCGGTTCTTCGAAAATTCGTCGGTAAATCTATTGTTATCCTTCGTGTATCCGTATTGTAGTAGAATTTACATCCGGTTTGACCGGATTTCGCGTTTATTCAGCGAAAAGTATTTCGAACGTTAGCCACTAAGAAATTGATTACGTTCTAACAAATCAGTCCGGCGGGTTAATGAGACTGAATCAGACTTTGAATTAAAGTGTCGCTCCAGCCCACTTCTCGCGAAAATCGCTCGTACCAATTTGTTCCACTAACTGGACGCGATTATTGGACTCGTCGGCTCAATTATTCCGCAATTACTCCTCGCGTAATTTATTCCCCACAACCGCACTCATCCTTTAGTACAATGCCTAATATATTTTGAAAACAGGCGCGAAGTACTTATTCCTTTGCAAAAGCGAAAAATCCGTGGCGACGACGTATGTATTTCACTTGTATTGTACTGTGTATCGCGCGTCTCTCTTAAAGTAATCGTTTCCCGATCCTCAAACAAACTAGAAAGCGGGAGAGGATGGAGACGGAGAAACGAAGAAAGCGAAGGTAAGTCGGATAAATTGCGAAGAATCAAGCGCAACGGCTGTTGAAAGAAATACGTATTGGACGTCAAAGTCGATGGAGTGAGGTGCATTCACGTTAGAGATGAAGAGTGCTTGATAGAGCACTTAAAACGCAGCGCTGCTCTGATAGAATTATCATCCTCGATAAAATCCTTATAATCTACGACGTAATTTTTTTTTTATTTTTTTTTAGATGATCGACGTGTGTGTGCTGCATCGTCCGAATTCAATTGTCCGTAAATCGCTTTTACTCGATCAATGAATGGCAGAACGAATGTATACAGTTTTGGTGGACACTCGTGACTCGTGACACTCTGCCCGAATTCCTGATTACATCACTACGTAGTGTAGCAAATGGGATTATTTAACGCTAAGAGTAATGAACACTTGGAATCGCGAATAAGAAGTCTTCCCGGCGGGACAGAGTCTCTTGAATCTGAGGGAGATTAAAGAGAAATTTATTGCGGCGCGCGGTTTTTCTTCACGGGAACAAGTGTAACCCGTTCCCGGTGATGCTTTTCGAAAGCGTGTGCGACGCGGCGGTTCTGTCAAACGGAGAGACAGATGGGGGACAGGTGGACCTCGCGGATGAAATGCGTCGCGTTTTATCACCTACATATCTACGAGTGTCCACGAGTGTGATACGTACGAGAGATACAAATCGTGCGTGAAATTTCGGGGTGTGGTGACCACCCCACGAGAGAGATGTTGGACGCTCTCGCCGCGTCGCCGAGAGGCGGCGAGCCTCCGGAGATGGATGTTCCATTCGTAATTGGTAAATATATTGTCGTGTCGACTCGCTGGTCGTGTGTGCACTTCGACCCGCAACCGGGTTCGCGACCAAAATGAAAAAGCGTCGGGACGCGAAAACGCGAGATAGTCGCGTCGGTCCTTGGCCACCAACGTTGTGATCGATGGTCGGGCATCAATATTAAGCGGAGCAACGGGACGGTCCGCCGTCCGCATGCGGACTTCACTGTATCTCGCAGAACGGCATTTTATTGTTCACTTCCTTGGTCTGCTCCTGATCCTGACTGTTGCCGCCCTCGCTCTTCGGACTGCCCGCCTCTTCGATAGAACCCCCGCCGCTACCGTGGGGGCACATCGATTGTCATCTCAGCGCCAGAGTGGATATCATCGGCGGTCGGGACGGTTTGTTGTCAAGAATCCTCTCGATCTCGCTCATTATGCTCGCGTTCAACTTCGGGATAAGCTGAAAATCGCGTATTCTTTTATATCTTCTTACTGCTCGCCACTGCGTTAATTTTTCAATTCCCGCGCGAAATTACTCCGATCACACATTTTACTAATTGTAAATGGCGAATTAAAATTTGATAATTTTGTATGCAAAGGGCGATTTACAAAACATATAAACATTTTTTATTTTTATATTCTCTATTTTTTCGTAATCAAAGTAATTTATATTTTATTTTAAAATTAAAAATTTTTGATCGCACTATTATTGAAAAAGCACTCTTTCAAAATAACAGGCATCAATAATAGATGGTTTCCATATTTCGTCCCATCATACGTATTAAAAATGACTTTTGGAGTATCCGGGACAAAATGAAATTCATTTCTAAAGCAGATCGAATATTCAGATGCATATATTATCCTTTATAGATTATTTCATCTAAAACTACTTAAAATAGAAGTTGCTTCTGTTAAATATATGGCGGAAATCAAACATACTTTAAAATAGGAAGAGAACTCCGTCTCAAGAATTGATCAATAAATTTTTCCAGTTCTAGCTTAAGCAATAACTAAAAAATGTATAAATTATCATAAATCTATAGATAATATATAGAATATATATAAAAATTTATTTTTTTATAGAATTATCAGGAAAAAAATTGTTAAAAATAATTAATAAAATAATTAAAAAAATGATTCAAATCGAAACGGTTCATGATTGCGTTTGGTTATCCTCTGCAAGTGAATGACAAAACGCAACGTAATTTGATTTCAAACGCTAAACCGTTCTCAAATGTATCGATAAAGTTGCATTGTAATAAAGAAAACGAGCAGAGATTAATCAAGCATTAGATTTTTTTTAAATATTTTTGTTTCCGTTATGCTATTAATACGCTTGCTTCAAAACAAGCAAGGTCAATCCAATCAGTTAATATCTCGATAAGCAAAACGCGGTTTAACGACTTGAGACGTTACGATATCTGGCCGATAGGAAAACTACCGGTTCAATTCCATGAGTTAATCTTACGCGATATCATCTAAAATATCGCGTAGGGCAAACAGTCTTCCGCAAGAGGCAAACAGCTCGTGCATTTACCTGTAAGCTTTGGAGACTCTCGTACAGTTGATCTATATTGGATGCACCAAGCAGAAGGCACTGAACACTTTCATTCTTTAAAGACCACGCGATGGCCAGTTGCCCGAAAGAGCACCCCAGTCTTTCGGCAAGGGCATATACGTCCCGCAATTTGTCCGAATACTTCCGAGTCTCCTCATCCGCAGATGATTTGTCTTTCCACGCGTACTCCTGCGTTGCAGAAACAATCGTTAGCACGTTCCGAAGCAAATGCACAGTTTGTGAATCGCATCTCCGTTATCGTTATAGCACTTTTTGTCAAATTATCATTTAATGTTATAAAGATAAGGATAATGTGCCTTGCGCTTTGTTTATAAATAACAAAAAATTAATGATGGTCAGCGGATCTGAATTTTGAAATAAATATAAATGAAATACGTTATACTTTTTAATGATTATATTTGTGAATATATTTTTTATGCGTAAGAGTATATTGTTTCTATAAATATTTATTCGCGTACCTCTTTGTACAAAGATTGAGTTTCATCCTCCGTCCAACTAAATGAGGAGTATTTGTTCTAAAATCATAAAGATTATTCTTCACTTCGAAATCATTTTCGAATCATATTTTTCAATTTATAAAAAAAAAATTAATTACTGTATTTTTTGCGACAGTCTTTCTCTCTTATTTTTACTTTCTCAATTTGTTAAAATGACGTAATTTTATTTATTTCAAAATGTAAAATGACATAAAATAATATTATAGATTTGTGCAAACGCTTCTTTAATAAAAAATAAGATAAATTTTGTTCATTAAATTAAGATGACGATTTGTTCATCAAATATTAAGAGTAATATTAAAAATGGATGTATTCATGTGTATTAAATACTTACTTTGTAAGAAGATCTCGAGAGGAATGATACTCCGCAATCATCCGTCTTCGAAGAAACCATCCCTATGGTGACAGTAGACCATGCCATTAAACCAACACCTATAAAAATTTGTTAATTGACTTTTACGATCAAAAATATTATTATAAAAATTTCTTTTCGCAACATATATATTTCATGATGTTACGTGCCATTAACACATTGATTGCCACTATACAATTAGAAAACTTGATCTCCGATGCCATTTTTATATCATTAATTTAATATGCTGCTTAATTATATTTATTCTTTATCAAAACCTACAATAAAATTTTTATTTCTCCCGTCAAATAATCGAATCGGTGAATAATTGGCGTCCATCTATAAATCATCACTTATGGTATAGGAGCTGATGATTTATAATTAGCTTACTCGTAGATATCCAGCAGTCAGTGTGTTAAAGACAAACACAAAGAAAGTAAATTAATTACCAATTTTGTTATACAATTCTGGCATATAGAGCTCAGATTTCTCTCTATAAAACAGATGATACTCCGCCTGCTCGACGATCGGCGTCACGCAATTAAATTGCCGACAATTCGTGTAGGCTTCCATAATCTCCACGGGTGACCATCGCGACGTACCCCAATACATCACCCAACCTTTGCTTATAACATAATTCATCGCGCGAACGATTTCTGAAATATAAGATCATGCGAATACGTGAGCTACGGAGAACACAAACGAGATCTTCTTAGCGTGAAAAATTGTCAGATACATGATAAACGATGCGAAATCGATGCGTAAATCACTACGTTACTTTAAATATTACGGTGAAATATAACATCTATTGAGAAAAAAAGAGAGAGCGGAAGTGTGTTTCAAAGCGTGTGAGGATAAAGGTAAAATAGCTAAGATAGATAGGTCTCTTGCATACATTTTTCGCATATTATAAAGCACACATTAACGCGATAGTAAATCGTAAAACAAGAAGTTTATACATATTTGCAACAAGAAGAATAAATATAAAATAAAATATATATAATATACATATATGTATATGTGTATATAGCGTGTAGAATACATATACTTTTACAACAATGACTTTCCATTTTCACATAAATATACCGAATACAGAAAGAAGCATACGTTAACTATTAGGGCACAATGCAACTGCCAAACATCAAATCATCACCATAGTGGAGATTCGTTGTAACTTTATTATTAGTTTGTTTAAAATGTTTAAATCATCAATGTATGGATTAAGAAGATCTTTTATCTTTTGTAAAACTGAATTGTGTTATACAATCTAAAACTAAATAATATATCATCGAATTTTGATTTAAAAAATGTTTATATTTTTGTTAATTATAAAATAATTTTTCTGTTGCTTTTATGCATAACACGATATATGTATAAGATATATGTATTGTAATAATATATCTTAAAATATCAATTCGAAATCCAATTTTAAAATACCAATCAATTGTACGTATAAATTACCCAGACAATACGAATGTTCAAAATTAAGACATAGGTCGGCTATTTCAATTTTGGACATGCGTGCTGTCTGAATAATAATGATCTCTTTTTATAGCTGGAAGAGTTTTATATTTAACTTGTACGAGACGACCTTGATGCTAAAATAATTTTACCTTTATCCAAAGAAAGCAAAATTTATTGCAAAAGTCATATGGGACATTCTTATGGGGAAACTACTTTCAAATCTATTGATGAAGAATGAGATGTTTCAAGCTTAATATGTAAATTAATGAAAAGTTTAATAGAAATCATCAACTAGTTATAACAGTAATCGATCATATAAACTTTTTCAACTGAAATTAAATAAAGATCATTATTTTCCTAGAAGAAATTGAAACGAATAATGTTAAAAGCACGCATAACAAATCTAATAAAAGATGAAAAAGCAACACTCTGGTAACACTGGATGATAAATGTGTTTCTTATTTCTAATTTTAATGTTAACTTCTCAGTGTTAAATAATCATCTCTCTTCGCCTTCCTGCAGCACAAACAATAGAAATGTGTCTCTTTTTTTCTACTCATGCTAAAATTGTGCGAATATTATCGTGACGGGCATCTTCATTGTATAAAATTGTTGTCGGAATTATAGTATATCACAGTATCGTAGCACGTTTTTCTTGTGCAGTGAAGTGCCGTAAGTGTTTGAACGATGGAATGGAGACGAGGAAGAGAGAGAGAGAGAGAGAGAGAAAGAGAGAGAGAAAGAGAGAGAGAGAGAAAAAAGAGAGAGGATTCGAATCTTTGAATATTACTCGCAAGAGAAAGAGGAATTGGAAAGTTACCTTCCATCGGACACATTGGATCGACTTTGTGGATCATGACAATGTCGATGTACGACAGTTGCAGCCTGACGAGCGAAGCTTGCACGGACTCGATAATGTGTTTCCGCGATAGCCCGCGACCCTCGGTCCTATTCAAGAATAGGCAGATATTATCAATCTTATTAAGCGCTGCAAACGGAATTAAAGTAGTAGTAGGGAGATGTGATGAGAGAGAGAGAGAGAGAGAGAGAGAGTGAGACAGATGAGACGTGTGCGGCGGCGGCGACGGCGACGGCGACGACGGTGGCGACGGCGGCGCGACGGCGACGGCACATCACGGTAATGTTTCCTTCGCCTCCTTTCCGTTACGGTGCGCGTTATTGAGCACGAACCGAAAACAACAACGGCGAAATAACGCGGCGGCGGCGGCTCGATGCCGGCTTCGATGCACGGGAACCTAGTTATCGATCGACGCGTCAAGGCGAAGCCTCATATTCGCGCCATCCACTTGATATTAAACGAGGCCGTCTCGTACCGAGATTCACTTCTGCCACACACGATGTGTCGTTTCCCTATCTGAAAGTTCGACTAATCCTGTAAAATATATAAAAGCCGCAGTATAACTTCGCGCATGGAAAGTGAAACCGAGTCGCCGATATACTAATTATCGATGACGCACCGATTTGTAATCCGCGCGCGCTTGTCAAAAGTGTTTTCAGAGAAGGTCTTCTGTCTTTCTTTTTCTTGCGTATCGATGATACCAGATACGCGATGTATATATATGATTGGCAAATACGATACGTGATAAGGTATCAATAACCTTCGAGTTATTAATGACTGGCAGGTTTCTTTATCGGCGCAAAAAGAATTCAACTCTGTAAGCTCGAAATCGGGGATTGGTTTTAAGATATATATAGTTTCCCTTAATTCCATAATGACTGTGAAATCATAAAAAAAAAATTTTGAAGGTTAAAAAAAAACCTTGTCGATTCTCCTCAATTGATCTACTTTTACGGTTTCGTACAAGCATTATACGCATAGTGTCTAAGCATATCATGCTTAGTGTACACAGAATACGCTATTGTAAGCTCAGCCAGAAACGATTAGTCGAGTCGACGTCGATTCGATGTCGATACGTCAATGAATGGTATTGTTGCGAATACTAATGTACTTTTGTCATCTTCAACCACAGCCTAATGGTTTAATTGAGCAATATTTCTGTAAGATTTCTATTGTCTTTCGGCCAAGCTTTACACATTCGAATCGATCATGCAAAGTTGAAAAGCATAATATATATGTATATGTATGTGTATTTGATGTATAGAATTGGCCGAAAGACAATAGAAACCTTATAGAAATATTCGCGACTGCTGAATTGACGTAAAAACGATTATGATGAGATCGAGGATGATGAAAATATCAATCAGCATTCGACATCGACCATTCGATCGATGCCGATTCGATTAATCATTTCTAGCTGGCAAGGCCACGCGAAGGATAAAAGGCCGATGGACGAATAAGTTACATTAAAGCCATCGATCGAGAAGCATACACGTCTAAAGAAAGAAAGAAAGAAAGAAGAAAAAAACGAAAGAAAAAAACAGAAAAGAAAGAAAGGAAGGAGAAGAAAGTAAAAGAAAAAAGGAAAGGAAAAGACCGCGCTTTCGCGTGCAAATAGCGTTACAACATCGAGAGCCACCGAGATAGAGAGAAAGAGAGAGAGCACGCCGAGAGAAAGAGAGAGAGAGAGAGAGCCACTACCCAGTCCGACTATCATCAATGCTCGCTAAAACACCACCATCAATGACGACGACGACGACGACGACGATGACGACGACGATGATGACGATGACGACGCCACCAAAATGACACACCGAGATACGCGCGACGACACCACTGGGGACGGGCGCTCTACTCACTTGGTGTTCCAATAAATTTTCGTCGTGACGACGTAACTCGAACGGTTCCAGGCGCGCCTCAGCAGGATACGGCCGAACTGGATCTCGGCGCGGTGACCGCTGTGCGCCTCGCTCAGGTCGAATACATTAATCCCGCTGTCGTAGGCGAGGGCCACGACAGCCTCCGCGGTCTCCTCGCTACCGCAGCCGCCCACGCCGAAGGTGGTCCATGTTCCTGCACCCATAAAACCAAATCAAGCGACATCGGCGACCTGAGGTTTTTGCGCCCGCGGCGCGGCCTTCCGGGACCGCGCGACCGAAATTGCGACGGTTGCAATCGTCGATCAATCCGAGCTGCAGCTGCAGTAGGATTTTAGCACTTATCGGCACATCCAGCACGCTAATATCGCGAAACGTTCTCTATCGGAAAATAATGTATGTTGGCGCATAAAATCGGAAAATAAACCTCGATTGAATCTTTGACCCATCTTACAAACCGCAAGAAATGACAAAGTTATTATTGCGCTTTTTATATTTTTATATTAAAATAAGAATAATAATAGTGACACGCCGATAATAATCGTAGAGATAACCCGCCAAATTGCTGTTGTCAATTATAAATTAAGTCTAAACTACAGAGTTTCGTGTTGCCAGCTCAGCCGTGATGTGACTCGTCTAATTCGTTTCTCGGGTCTTTAAAGTCTGTTAAGCCTAATTCTACAGCATCTATTAGCAAATTGTTTTAGATTCACGTTTCGAGGATATCCGGCCGGCTGACGTAAAACAGTATCGCAAAGGAAGATATTAAGCTTTTAAAATGCTTGAAAAATGACGATTAATAATATGAGAAACGGCGCATAATACGAGAAGCGAGACGATTGTGGAAAAAATTTATGGAATTTAAACTCGCAAAGTAACATCGTGAGAGCGAGCTTTAAATTAATAGGTACACATTTGTAGAGCGCGCAAAAGTAAGAGATACGCATTTTTTTATTTTTTTTAAATTCCAACATGGATGAAATATCCCTTCAAAGCTCGTTAGTTCAAACTTGTTTTTTAATATTGTGGAACTATTTATACAAAAATTTATTTTCTTTTGCAAAAAAGAAAGTTACATAATTTTTTTCAGAGGTGGAAAAGTATATATGACACCATTTCTTTTAGATAAATCTCGAAGAAAATGTTTCTGTAGAGAGAGAGAAGAAGTTAAAAGTAACGGAAGAAAAAAATTAGTAAAAAAAATTTTAAACATTTACGAATGTACCAGATGTATGTGTATCAAATATATACAGCGATACGCGTGTAAACAAAAAATAAAATGATGTATTAACAGCATTAGCCAACAGCGGTTTAAATTGAAAATAATCTTGTGTTTATTCAATATCAATATTACAAATAAACATTTTATTAAAACAGGAGTTTAACGTATTTGTTTCATCAAAATGAAACTGAATTTAATCGGATTATTGTCAATTAGGCGCAGCCGGTTAATGCTGTTAACGCAGCATTATTTTCTTTCCGTGTATTTGCGTAAGCAAACCACGTAAATTGCATACACCATTCGAACTATCGAGCACAAACGATCGGCTGTAGGTCATCCAGTGCATCGTACATATTGTATGTATCCGCGCCCGTAACGAAACCGTGTGGCGATGGATGGATATGGGACGCGGGGAGAGGGAGAGGGGAGTTGCGAAATAAATAATGAAAACTGGGAAACTTGAAGTCTTCGATAGCCCCTCGGCGGTCGGCCGCGGACGGGCAGGACCGCGGGTGATAAAGATCCGAGATATCCGGTGGCGGATGCACTTCCGGGGGATCAATTCGGCCGCGAGGTATATCTATCGCCGTCGAGGGGGATATCCGTCGAAACGAGGGAGAGGGTAGGAACGATATATCGCCTTCGCGAAGGGAGGAAAGTTGTGTTCGCGCGCTCGGTGATCTCTCGGCGATAATTTCTCTATACGAGATAAAGAAAAGAAGGGAGAGCGGAAGTATACATTCAGCGTACCTAATCCAACATTGGAAACACGTAGACCGCTTTTGCCCAAGTTGCGGTAGCGTATACCTGGCGAGGGATGCTGCAAACGCTGCGCTTGTGCGGCAATGCAGCTGGTTAGTAGCTGCTCCTTCGTTCCGGTCGCGTTGCTGCAGTGCACGCCCGAGTCTACGCCGCCCCCGCCGCCGCCGCCGCCGCCGCCACCGCCGTTGAACTCTTCCATGCAATCCAAACTTGCTATGGGTGCACGGCAGCTGCGCATACAAGGGGTGCAAGAGTTATCGCGTATCGATGTCGATACAACGTCGCCGTGTCCCGGTGTGACTACCGGTCGATCGGGACACGTCTCGGGAGCTTCCGAATGTCCCCGGTCAGAAATTCTTCTGCCAGGCACTTTCGCGAGGAAAGATTGCCGTCTAGTTTTTGTCCTCCTCCCCCCTGTCCTTTTTTTTAAGTTTTTATCTTTTCAATTTTCTAACTTCGAGAATGCAACTTTAAATGCCTCGATAATTTAATATCGAGTTAAACGTTTGCTGAAACGAATTCACGAAATGAGAAACTGATTGAATAGCCAAGTTTCATCAGTCCACATCGAGATTGATCGCGCTGAAACTTCGCACAATTTTCAAAATTAAATAATTCCAGAATTAAATAAAACGATAATTGATCCGTATTTTAAAAGTCTCCTACAAATGGAATTCAAGCCAATACGCGCCGTCAAGCACAAATGTTCGTTAAGTAATTCTATTTATTAAATAATTCCGTGCTGTATTATTAATTATATTGTCAAGAGAATTGTCATATCTTTCAGTTTACGCTTCAGTTCGTAATAATCGCAATTAGTGATTGCAAAAGAACATTCGGTCGCTCCAATATTATTATACGTCTATTATTATTATTCTATTATTATCGTTCTAATTGAAGGGCTATTATTATTAATCTAATTGAAGGTGCAAAAATCGATCAGCTTTATTTTTTGACGAAAATGATTTTTTTAAGTGGATTTAACATATCAAACATTCAGCGTCTTTTTGTATAAAAAATGAACAGGTCCGATAGATTCAACAAAGTGCTTTTTACATATTTCAATGTAATGATTTTCATTAAAGATTTCGCAAAGGTACTTTAATACTGTAGAAAAATAAAGAAAAAATCTGACTGGTTTTTGCACTTCGTCTTACATGTGTGTTACATGTGTGTTATACATGCTCATTATAATTTTCATTTTTCAAAAATTTTCAATTACATCGATAATTTCTTTAAACGTTAAACGAACATGATTTGGAAAGACTTTATTTTAAAGACTTAAATTTAAACATCTATCTGAATTCATCTGTTTCGCAGAATTTTGTAAAAATAGAAAGGGAGAGAAAATATAAAAAGCATATTCGCGTGCATTGTATTTTATGTTTGAAATCACTATCTTACAATTAGTTGTTGCTTTCTTGTCAAGTGCAAAAACATAAGCATTAGTATTAATATTAACACGTAACTCCGTATGAGAACACGAAATTCATGTCATGGATTATAAACACTCCGACTAATTGCCATTAATATTACGGTCCCAGACACGAATCGTCTGACCGTCCGACCTTCTAGCCATGTGCGCTACCGACTTGGCCAAAATTCAAACATGAATAATTCGAGGAATATGTAGACATTGGGCTGCGAGCGAGTATAGTGATCGATGTTGAAACGTTACTCCGTCCGTGTAATTCGAATATTTTGAGACACGTAATTCTGCTTTCATCTATAAGATGCATATAATCAGTATCGTTATGCCTCGGTCTATCGCATAAAGCTCGATTAGACCAATAATCCGGATTAAGTACGTCTGGTTCAAGAATTTGTGCTCTCGCTCTCTCTCTCTCTCTCTCTCTCTCTCTTTCTTTCTCCCTTCTCAGATTACAGCTTTATACACGACATAAACTCGGAGGAGAAAAACTTATCGCGGCCAAAGTTAGCTACAAGTGACGTTGGTGCAACCGAGTCTAAGTAAGCCAGCACACCCCAGTGCTCTCGCAGCTCGCTCGAGTTCGCGAGGGGAACGAGGGGGTGGCCGCGGTCTGGCAGCCGAGCGTCGTTGGACACCGGCGATCGTCGTCGCCGTCCGGTGGGCTTATCCATCGTCGAGTTACTCGTGTTTGAATTTCGATCAGCTCGAGTGAGCCCGGTCGATCGTTTTGCGAGCGCACCAGGCCTTAGAGAGGCCGCAGCCGAGCCTTCCAAGAACATCTGGGAGCGTCGGAGACGCGGCCGCGGCTACGTCTGTGCCCCTTTAAAAGCTAAAACTACCACCGCGACTCCGCCACCGCGATGTGGGTCACCGGTGCGCAAGGGACGAAGGAGCGGAGGAGGGGAGGTGAGGGAGAGGGAGGGAGGGAGGGAGAGAGAGAGAGAGAGAGAGAGAGAGAGAGAGAAAGAGAGGGGCGATAGGTCTCGGGTCGGGGGAATATCGTCTTTCGCTTGAGTGCCCGGTTATCGCGTATACCGGCCACTTTGCCCCCGACATTACCTAGACGCGATTGCTTTGTGAATTAGTCGTGTTTAATAATTATTGAAGCCCGCCAAAATACTCTCGATAATCCGCTTGTGGAGCGAACCGCGGAACGACGGTTCGATCGATATAATAGTGTTAAGCGGCAACGAAATGTATAAAAAAAAGAGAGAGAGAGAGAGAGAGAGAGAGAGAGAGTATCCAGAGGCGATACAAAAGCCCGATTAGATCGGCTTTCACGCGTTTGCGAAACAACAGAACAACAGGGATGAAAAACAAAAATAACGGGTGTGAGTATCGAATTTCTGAGGGAATCTCTGCTAATTGCGATAAAATGTGCATTAACGTATACATATCAACATATAATTGTATACGCATTCAATTCTCTTTTGACACTCGGTTCATACATACATCCCAATAAATTTCGAGCTGAAACTTTAGAAGCCCTTTTGAAAAAGAAATCTATTATAGATTCGAAAGGGGTTGAAATAAAAATTACTCGTTTGTCACGTCTGTCGCGAAATTATATGGGATGGTATCTTTGGGCAGGGCAACTTTAATGGAAACGCGCACGATATATTTCACAGATATCTCCACATCGCCGTGACATCATTTGTTCAGGTTTGTTTTCTATTTTTTTCCTCTCTGTCGCGCGAACTCGCCCTGCTTCGCGGGCTGGGCCCCGACATTCGGTAATGAGCGAGATCCTCTCTGACTCATTCGTTCGAGGGGGGAGGGGGAGGGGGAGGTATGCTATTTACGTACCGATAAATTGTAGGCAGTGGATAAGAATCGTCGTCCTCCATACTGCTGTTCGTGTTTGCGTTGTTGTTTGTATCATTTCCCGTCGTCGAGGCTGTATTGCCAAGGTTACACAGCATTAATCGCGACATTGCTGACGCCGTTGTGGAACCGTTTGTCAATCTAAATTGGAAACACTTTTGGAGGGAGGGAGGAATGCGGAGAGCACAGGCCGATATCACGGTGCGGACGCGGTGCGCACGTACTTGTCTCCCAACGCGGCGATCATGCCTCTCGTGCGCTTTTATTCTTTCTTTTTTTTTTTTTATACAAAATCTCAAGACTCCCAAAACTCCTGGTCGCGTGTCTCTAGCGGTCACCACCGTCCTCGCCGCTCGCTCCGCGCGCTTTCTCTTCACCTCGACACTCCGGCGCGATCTTCGGCGCGTGGCGAACGAGCATCGCACGATCGTAATCCCCAAAATGCGCGTGTGTACAGGACTGTGTGGGTCCTGCGATCGTTCGAGTCAATTCGAATCAATCTCGTGATTATTGCACGATGCGTATATACATATATATAGGCACTAATTAAATTTCTTTTTCTCTTCTCCCCTCAGTTATCAAATCACGATGTTGTAGGCACCACTTTTTGAAGAGCATAAACTTCACAGAGAGTTTTCCCGTGCTAGCGGTCGGCACGATCCGCGCTCGCGTTCAAGGAGGAGAGGGTTGGCGGGGGTGACATCGGTGCAGAGCGGTTCCCTTCGCGGTTTTCCCTCCGGAAAACACCGTCCGACTCCGCGCGGATCTCCCGCGGACCGGATCGAAAGACGGGCCGAGCGATGGTCGATATGAAGCTGGAGCTCGATATGTGACACGATCTACCGCTGACGCGGTATCGGGTCGCCGTTGTCGTGTCGCCGATGCACGAAAGAAAAGGGTAATCAAGGACGCCGGATGCGAGGACACGGCGACGATCGCGAACTGTGCGTGCGTGCGTGCGATGGCAGGGGTGTTACAGTTTCGCGTTACGATCCATCATCATCGGTCGTCACCCCACGATCGTGTCAGCAGCACAACGTCACGAGGACCACCGGTGCTACTCGGTCGCCGCCGTCGCCGCCGCCGGTGCCCGTGCTCGTCGTCGTGCCCGCGGACGATGCCGTAGACTCCCGTAACGCGCGCGTATCGCGGCGGGTCACGTAACGCGCGCGGCAACGATAAGAGGCATTATCGGACGGCCGCGGACCGGACGCGGGCATAAGTGCGCGCTTGCAGGGCGATCGTGCGGCGCGGCGCGGCGCGGCAATAACGAGCCTTCATAAAGGAACACACACAAATCTCGAACGGAACATCGGTAAAAATGGGGGGAAAGTGAGTGAGAATAGGAGAAAGAAAGTGAGTAAGAGAGATAGAAAGAGAAAGAGAGAGAGAGAGAGAAAGAATGAGAGAGAGAGAAAGAGACGGCGAGTGTCGTGCTACCCGCACGTAGGCAACACTGCGCGCACACCGCTCGACACCCGCTGCCGATTCCCACCTTTCTCCTCTTTGGTGGCGGAGGAGCGCGAATGCAACCCCCGTGCAACCCTCCCGACCGCCCCTCACCGTCCCCCGCGTCGCGACGGTGTGGCTGCGCGCGCCACCCCTCCTCGCCCTCCACGCTGCATGCGCCGAGCGCGCGCGCGCGCTTGCATCCCCAACTCTCGCGCTAAAAACGTGAAATTTGTCGCGGGAGGCGCACGAGGTGGCACGAGTTACGGCACGGCGCGCCCCGTGCGAATCCACAGCTCCGGCCGGCGCGGTCGTCCGACCTCGCACCCTCGACCACGAGTTACGGCACACGGCCGTGCAACGTAATAATCGTTATCGTATAATGTGGAAAGCCTGCAAGCGGCCAATAGGCCGAAGGCCGCGAGGAGTTTCGTATGCGAATTTTCACGCGCCACGAGTAACCGTATTTTTTACGGATTTTTTCCAATTTAATACTGGAAATTGCTTATTTTAAGTACTAAAAGCATAGGACTTACAGTGCTCTTATATGTATATTACTCGAAATAAGTTATTTATTTGGAATAGTAATCCCTCCCTTATAATAGAATACTGAAAAGTACTTATACTACTTTCCAGTATTCTATTATAAGAAATGGTATCGCGTGCAATACCACACACGTCGAACAATCTAAATTCTGATCTAAATCGAGGGACCTTGAATAAGAATTCGATTTGACGTGAGAACAGGGAGAGATACTCCTCTTTATTCTTCGCGTATGTCGCTTGCGAGATCGGCAAGAAATCGCCGATTCGAGGAGACAATCTCGAAACGCGCGACGATTTCACGTGATTCATCGCCGTCAACGTCGTCGTGGCGAACACACGGCTTGGCATTATTCTATTGAGCATTATTCTCGATTCTGCCTTGCCTTCCGCATCGTCGACGACGCATGCGCGCGTTACATTCCCTTTTGGCAGAGTTATGCAGGAACGACGACCGCGGTGCTCGGTTTTCTGTGGGCGCGCGTCTTCCTTTGTATTGTATTAAGCAAACAATCGTCCCCCGGTGCTTTTGAACGCACAAATCACAACGTAAAACTTTCGAAAAGTATACATATCTCTCATTCTCTCCCTCCACAACAACGAATAAGTCTCGAATATTATCGGCAATATAAACGGAAAGAGATGTAAAGAGATCTAAGAATTTTATTTTATCTTTACCGTACAACGTCACGAAAAAAAAAATCATCGTTAGAAATGAATCTAATATCAATCTAATAAACAACAAACCGACTCGTTATTAAATCACAAAATAACAGGAAATCGTAGGCCACGAAACGAGCAAATTTTTTTTTGTAACGCCCAGTATAAAAAAATTTGCGTTTCTTGGCCTACGATTTCCTGTTTTTTTTATATAATCTAATATAATTTTAATTTCGCGAATTTTACAATTATTTATCGTCTTTTTTCAATCAAAATAAATTAATAACAGAACGCAAGTAAGTGCTTATTTCTCTGGATGCTTTGTGACTGCAACTCATTATTGACAAAAATCGCCTCTCTGAAAGAAATGTGTTCGAAGAGACAAGGAAAACATGTGTTCAACCGTGTTCGGAACGCTATCTCTCCCCTCGTTGCTCCCCGTGTGTGTGCGCGCGCGCACACAGCACATCCGACACAATCGCGCATACACAAGCACGCACACAAACGTACGTATAATCGGCGTAGGAAGAAGGGTTTTGTGAATCAACGGTCTCAACGGCAACGCCGCATTGCAGATCCGCCGCGCCGACACGCAACTGACCCCCTCGTCCTCCCCCAGCCCTCCCCCAACCCTCCTCCTCCACCACCTCCTGCTTCTCCTCCGTCTCCTCCACCGCCGCAGTTTGTACCCTAAATTACACTCCACAGTGAACGCGCGACGTATGCCTATATGCTAACGTACCGCGACGGAGGCAACACCGATTTATACGAAACGCGCGCGTTGTTAGTCGCAAAAGCGATGCCCTCGCAATCGCGAGGCCTTTTCCCTTCCGGACCAGGAAATCAACGTCGAGCGAGTAGTATAGCTTTTCGTCGGTGCTGTGCATTAATACGTCGCGCCGTAAAAATCCGTTCTCTTTTCGACGCGCAACGACGACGATCGCGTGTATACATGCGATCGTTGTTAACTGGCACGTAATGCGTGGATACATATATATATATATAATTTTAAGATAACATATAAGTTCCAACGTTCGGAACGATATATGCGAGAAGCGTAAATGACAGAGAGAAAGAGAAGGGGAGAGAGAGGAGAGAGAGAAAGGGGCAATGCTTTTCAGTACATTTCCAGCAAAGTTACATGTAACCTACTTGTTAGTTGTAATTTCCCACTCAAAAATATAACTATAATATAACATGTATAAAACATGTATTATATTATAGTTATATTGTTAAGTGAGAAATTACAATTATAACAAGTATACGTTACATATGTAACTTGGTTGCTGGATGCTTTCTGTCGTGCCGTTGGACCACGGATGGCGACAGATCGGCGCGTAAAGCCCGCGATCATCACGAGGCGCGTGCGTTGACACTCGTGCGATACCCGGCCCGATATGGAGAAGCATTAACACAAAATCGCACACGTATTATAAGTTACGTACCTGCGATGCGGCAAACGGATCTCCCGCAGACGCGCCGAAGAAAAGTCGGGATTAAGTTATAAGAATTTATGCAGTCGGCTGGTTACCAACGTCGGTCTCGACCGACTCGTATCCTCTCATACATTGCGGGTATCGCGAGATGAGGAGCCAGACGCTAGTAAACTCGGTCGTTGAATCAGTGCCAAGGCCCGAATTTTCAGCGGACCCTCGGCTGTGCATAAGCGGGGAAAAACGTATATGTATATGTCTGCCGTGGAAAGAGAGAGCGCGAGAGAGAGAGAGAGAGAGAGAGAGGGACTTTAAATAAAATTGCGTCCGATATGCGTAGGATGACCGGAGCGTTCCCTATTGAGTCGTCCCACGTTCGATTTTACGCTCCGTCGTGTCCGGCGTGCGATCGAACTCCCAAAGCGGATATGCACGTATATCGGCGAGGAAGATCCGCCGGTGCTGCACACCGGCGGTGACGTACGCGAACATAAATTTCCCCGCGTTATTTATTCTCATAACTAACGTCTTCGTGAATGTCGAGTGATGTCAGTTCCGCGCTCGCCAATGTCTATACGGAGCTTAACTGAAATAGCGGATCGAGATTTATGGACGTTACTCTCCGCGGCGCGGGCGTTTTAGATTTTTGCGAGAACTTCAGCAATCGCTTTCAAAAGTAACTTCCGAAAGTAAAATCCATGCGAAGTCGACATCGAACAGTTATATTTCATTTATCCCGAGTTCTGTATGTATGCACACATACAAATGTCGTCTCTCACGAAATCTCGCATTTATGTACAAAGATAATGTGTATTTATTTTTAGAAGCGTTTCGCGGTAAGCTATCTCATCGCCGCTGTATTGTAAAAAACAATGCTTTGTTTGAAATTATTTAACAAGGGTACTGTTTTTAAATAATTAATAAATCGCAACGCGATATACTGCAGTCGGATCGTGTTTCGTTCGATTTTGTACGTAGACATAAGAATATCGTAGCAAAATCGTGTCATCTTAATTATACAAACGCAAAATATATAATTCCCGACGTGACATGAATAACGGCTTATAAACGCGATCGATTTAGACGTTGTCCGATTTAAAAGTGCTTGTTGATAAAAAAAGTCACGTCACGGAGCGAACGAGAAAGAGCGAAAGAGAGAGAAAAAGAGAAAAAGAGAGAGAGACACATCCAAAAAATTACACGTTTCTTCCGCATTGCTGATTCTCGCGTAAATTCCAGGCGCTTTCTTTCGCAACTTTTGAGACAGTCTGTTAGACCGATATATATACAGGGTTCTTTCGGATTAAATCGCTAAACTTAAAATATAAATGTAGGACTTCAAAATAAACAAAATTTTTCTCTGGAAAGTTTACTTGCAAACGCTTCGTTTAAAAGATATTAACTTCTTAAGTTATGAAAAGTTTCTGTAGAAATGAATAATGTTGAAATAATAATCTAAGTTTACCCTCTTTAATATTTTACAATAATTAAAATATAATTATTAAACGTATCACTCAAAATGATCGTCTCCAGCCCTGAGGAAAGCATTGCCTATTGATGAGAGAACGAATGGCTGGCTGACATTATCTGTAATTTTTTCGCGCTCTTGCATTATCCTCCGTTTTTAACGATTTTTTTAAATGATAATGAAGATCGTTGACGAACGTTCCATATACTTTTTACACAAAATCAATATTTCGGCATTATTCACTTCTTATACAGTTCTGTAACTTAAGAAGTTAATATCTCTTAAAGGAAGCACTTGCGGGCGAACTTCCACAGGAAATTTTTGTTTGTTTTAAGACCCTAAATTCATATTGTAAGTTTGACGGTTTAATCCAGGAGCATCATGTATAATACATTCTTCGAGCAAGATTCACCGCTCATGTATGTATATTCATAGAAACAAGATAGGAGTGTTGATTTATTGATTTGTGTATTATTTTAATAACTTATTACAGTACTTTATTAAATGTTAAGTTACGGTTTTATCTAGACACATTTACAGTCACAGATTTGTGTATCGCAATATGGGAAAGTGTATCGCGCGCTTCTTTTGATGACTTGTTACAACGATTCGTGTCTGTATGCGTGTGCGTGTTTATCCGTATCTGTGTCTATATATGCGTCTCTTGGTGTATCTAACTAAAATGTGTCTGCATCTGTGCGATATATCTGTGTATCTTTTGCTATACAACAATTACGGTTTCGCAGCGTAAAAAGGCGCATGATCGAAAAATCGGGAGAATCTCCGCTGTTTTCGACGGACGTATGTCCGACAATTCTCAGCGGGAGATACGAGAGAGCTAAAAAATGGGAATAAATCTTTCTCATCATCGAGCGACTCTGTGCAGCGCATTATATTTGTGTATTAACAGCAAATGAATTCCTTGGATGGGAGGGCGGAGGCGGGGGGAGAGAGTTCGCCGCGTACTTCCGTTCGGAGCGTGTTGGATGCTTCGGCGGCTAAATCAAGTTGAATCGTTTCACACGCGTAAAAACACACTCTCGCGGTCACACACCCGTTTTTTGCCGAGGTCCGCGAATAAAATGCTTAAACGGAACCGGCAGTCTTTCTCGCGCATTTGTATTACAATTAGACACAGTCGCACGAGCGTGCCCTCCTCTATACGATCCCACCCGAGAGCTATTTGTCGCTCGCCGCGATTGCCGAATTACTCGGTGGTGACGGATTTTGCACGCGTCCTATACGTTCCCTGGGCGAAATCTCGATCGTGTGGCATGAGATCCGTGGCTCGTTACTGTGGCTAATTGTAAGTTGTTGATTCTTCGGCGCACGCAATATGGCCGTAAGCACAGTGATCGTTATTTTAAGAGAGAGAGAGAGAGAGAGATAGAGATACGCGAAAAGAAGAGAAGAGAGGTAAGAGGGTGGGAGCTGGTAATAAAAATAAAAATAAAGAAAAAGTAAGAGAGACTGAAAGAATAAAAGGGTGGTAAAGAGGGAGGGCGCATACGCGCGCGCGTTATGTGCAAACAGATGTGTATAAATGCATGTGTCAGAAAGATGGAGCAAAGAGATGTCATCTACAACAATCGACGATGGGTTTCCAGTACAATGTTTTTCGAGTATTGTCAGGAGAAGAAAAAGCGCGGGGGATAGAGAAAGAGAGAGATAGATAGATAGATAGATAGATAGATAGAGAGAGAGAGAGAGAGAGAGAGAGAGAGAGAGAGAAATTTTTAGTAAGTAAATACAAAATGCATTACATATCGTGGTTCTAAACGTGGGCGATAACATTGTTGATATTAAAACTGTACACACGGTAAGCTGTCCCGTGTAGCTGGAAATAAACACCCCTCGCTCAAGCTCGGGTCTCTCGGTGAGTCCGTGGGAGAGGGGGAGGGGGAGGGAAAGAACGTTTCCGGCTGCGGATTGCGAGCGAGCTGGCCGCGCCCGTACGTCATTACGGGCGGGTCATCGTCCCGGGTCTCCTCGATCATTTCACCGTCCTTTGGCAGGTGGGGAGATTTACCATGAAGAATACGTTGAGCTCGATCAGCGACGCCAGTATGAGGAACACGGCGTACATGCACAGGCAGGCGCGGCCCACTTTCGTGTCGAGCTGAAACTTGTTGGAGGCGAACGCGATGTACAGCAGCATCAGGGTCGACAGCAGTGATATCGCGCTGTACTCCAGCCCGCCGGAATTTATGCTTATGTAATGCCTGCCGGGCTGCGTCGGCGAGAAGGACGACTTGATCAGCCAGGGTAGTCCGAGGCACAGTAATATGTCGAACGTATTCGATCCTATTGAATTGCTGATGCCCATCGAGCCGTGTCCTGAACAGCGTAAACAGAACAGGTAGAAAGTTATATTAGGTATAGCGGGAGGAACAATGGAGGAAGGTGCGAGAGAGCGTGACGAATTGTTTTCCCCGAGTGTTCTCTGCGCTCCGTTCTTTCGCCATTATCCGTCTTTCCCAGATTCTTAAGAAACTTTCGGACCTCGACGCGGTAATGCCTTTGAAATTCTGACCGCCATTCGAAACCTTTTATAGCTCGACCTAAATGACCTTCTCTCAATGTGTCGCCTACAGCGACTTTTGCCCATTTTTATTGTATCATATATCACACTGATCTCGAAATTTTTTGCACTAGTTCTCCGATGTAATCTCGTTACTGCTATTTCTTATTGTCTAAACGAAACACGCGTGCTGAGATCCGAGTATAAGAAAAAAATTGCACACTTAAATTGTTCTATCTATTTATCTCGCAGTAAATATTCATTTATGATTAATTTTTAATGTATGTTGTGTAATTTTTAATATATTTGCTAAACCGTGTACCTTGTTTCGCGACAATTACGCTCGACACGGCTTCGGGTACGCTGGTTCCTGCCGCGAGAAAAGTGATGCCCATTACAGAATCTGGTATCTTTAGCGTGTCTCCTGAAAGAACGAAATACGTTTGTATGAAAATTTTAATCTAAAAATTCTACACAGTAAAATAAAGATACTTTCATTGCAGTCTTCCCTTTTGTCGTTCTTTAATTTTAAACAGTTAGAGAACGGTATGCCAAAGTTTTGGAATGTAACACATTTTTCAATTAGAAAGAGACTTTGATTTAGAATAATAAAATTTATACACATAAAATTTTGTCAGATATTTTTTGAAATGTTTGGATATCCGGTACGTTTGTTTGCAGTTGAGCGTCAAATTAAAATTATCACCCCTTATAATAGAAATTTAATACTGCAAGGTGGCGAGTGATTAATTATTTATTTTGTATTAAGTATAATTTCCGGTATTAAATTGGATTCCTGTAAGGAACCGATCACTCACCGATTATAGTGATCATCCACGCTACCACGTAGCTGAGCGATCCGATCCATATGATGCACATCAAGAACGTGATGGGGAACCAATTCTTGAATCGTGGCTTCTCGCAATCGGGAATTGTGCACATGAATACCAGATGAATGGGCCAAGTCGTGACCCAGGCGGTCTTTCTTAGCCATCCAGCATGCGCTGGCCACACCAAGAGCTTGTACTCGTAATCTGTTATACACCATGTTACGAGAATTTCAAATTCGACAGATATAATTGTCTATTGTTTATGTTTCGTATCAGCACTCCAGATGATAAAATTGTAAATTTATTACATAACATTTGCGTCATTTAAAATGTGTCAATAGCTTGTCAAATTTGAACGTTCAATCTCTGATCTTGATCTAGTTAACTCTCTGGAAAGTCCCATTCACAAGTGCTTAATTGTATTTGACCGATTAAAGTGGCTCTCACGAAATATATTACGCATCGCTTTACCATTGTTCACTTACCACTGTCGTTACGTTCACAGACGCACGATGGTATTGTCAATACAACTGACAATCGTGGAAATCGATTTGATTAGATTAGACTAGGAGAGTAAATATTTGTTTAACGCGGCGAATTCATAGAAAATTCTACGCGCGGCAAATTATATTTTACGTAACGTGAAGCAGTCCGTGTTACAAATGGCGTGTTGAAAAATTTAGAAGGACGAACAAACTTACTAGGATCTGGATTCTCCTCCTGCGTTTTCGTCCCGCCATTTTGTAGCGGCACGTCGATAGTGGCTATCTGTTCCACACGATCACCGGGCGATTGTAATTTGTCCGGTGTTGGTAAGTGAATGTCGCCGGAATCTGAAAGAAACATACATCATTTTACGTTTCATATAAGAAGTCAAGATATCAAAATTGTATTTTTTATTTCTCTAAATTGTAGACATTATTATTAAAATAATTCCAAAAGTATCTAAATTTTTTTAAGTTAAATCCTTGAAACTTATAATCATCAAAACGTGATCAAAAGTAATGGAGATTTTATTTCAAAATGCCACAAAGTTACAAGTGTCTTATCGATATGAAGTCAGTTTATTTTAAATAAGCCGAACAAGCGGATAATTTATTAAAATAAAAAATCCGGAAAACGCAATGAAATTTATTAAAATCAAAATTTCAAAAATCAAAGAAACGAGACTGAAATTACTCGACCTTACCTGTCGTAACTCGCGGGCCGTCTGAAGATATTTGATCCTCGTTCGTGCGGAATCTTGTACACCGCTGGAACGATTTATCCCAGTACATCACGGCGATATAAACAATGTACAAAAGCACCAACGTTAACGCTTCATACCATTCTATCCGCTCGTCGTGTATAATGCATATCAAAATTGCGACCGTGACACCGTAAGCGAGACAATCTCTACTAACAGGCCACCAGTCTAAAGGCACCACCTGTTTACGAAAACAAATAGTTATTATGTATCAAATCACAACATAACTGTTTAATTATAATATTAAGAAATATTACATGTATATATAAATAAAAAAAATCGTACATATATAAAATTTATTTTGTAATAAAATTATTACACAATAAATATATGGAGTGTAAGAAACTTAATAAATAATTTTGCTTTTTGTTTAATGTAAAATTAATTATGTGAAATTTACATTAATATAAAATATATATTTATATAAATGCCGTAAGCCTTCGATAATATCGATTACATATCACGTACCATGATGCTTTTTTGACAGTCGTTTGACGTACATTGATATCAATTTTTAATCAATCCGTTATCAATATCGGCTTGATACGTATTGTATCTATTTGATAAAACATATGCTACCGCTTACTCATAATTATCTGAGTAAAGAAAAAATGCTAAAATACATGAGTAGTAACACCAAGAAACATAGAAAAATGTACCGTTCATCTTTAAATTTAATTGTGGCTTATCAATTGTCTTTAAGTTGAAAAAATTGCACAATATAAGAAAAATATTTGTCATAAAATCTGCTTTAAAAACACGTATATCTATTAAGCTTGTATTAAATTTCGTATTGTAACTTTTTTGAAGCGTAGCTAATTTTCTTTTTCATGCTTTTCGCGTCCATCAGATTTCTCGAAACTATAGGACACTCTTGGCAACCTACCATTCCCGCACCGATGCCGCAGCAGGCTGGGACAGCCAGGATGTTGAATACTGCGGAACCTACTATCGTCCCGACGCCAATGTCACCTTCCGTGATGAATGTTCCGATGGCATTCACGAATAATTCTGGGGCCGACGTCGCCGCCGCCATAAACGTCGCGCCGGCTACGTCTTTTGACATCGAGAGTGCTAAAATGCAACAGTCTTGATTTACCTTTAATTGTCTACATATATATTTCGCGGGATACGAACCACCGAATATTCCTGGGATGAAACGTTCTTTACCTTAAATCGTTACGCAACTAGATCGGAGAAGAAGATAGAGAAAAAAATTCGCGTATCGTCACATGAACTCTTTGAGGCTACAAAAATTCCGGTCGAAAAATTTCATTTTTGCTAAAAGTAACTTCGACGTTAATATAAAGTAAAATTGATTGAAATAATTATTCTAAAACGTAAAAAATGTAAGAAGGCATACTTTTTTCGCGCGTACTACGTTTGGCGAGCAATGTGATTATGTCATCTGATTGTCATCTCGACGGTTTGACATACCCGACATTCCTATTTGTGCAGATTGAACTCAGAACTCGGACAATTACGTTCAGCGTTAGAGTGATAATGAGAATATATACCGCGAATACGAGAACAGACGGATCGTATTTCAAGAAATATCGTGAGGATGAGGGACTGCCGCGATAATCATTGAAGATGTGGCCTGGCGCCCGCAGAGTGACGCAGATATGCTGCAGCATGGTCATCGATTCGACACAGTCGCGTATCGCGTATCTCAAGCGGTCGCGTGAAATTAGCTCGATATTGCTAAGCGTGCCAAAATAATTTGCTTTGATCCGATCTGCACTTTAGCTCGGCTTTCGCGAAGATCGATTGACATCACCTGCGCCAGCTCTGGATAAATAAATGTTCTATCGCGCGCGCGCGCGCGAGCGTGTTCGTCTACGTGTAGTATGTTTATAAGTAAAAGTCTATAATCTCGAGAAGATTACTTTAGACAACTATTGTAATAAGCGGCTCTTATATACGTTATACTTTCGCTCTCTCAGTTCTTAAAATAAAATAGATATTCTAGTTATTTCTAAAGTTAGCAAAGAGTTTGCAAAATTAACAAGATCAAACTCTTGAAAATTTAATCACTAAGATAATTAGTGTCAAAAGATGTAGCGCGCGAAACGCCATTCAATATTAAATTAATGTTAATTAAATCTTAGTGATTAAAGCGAAACGTTAAAGTGAAACTTTGTTAAATTCGGTTAAGATCAAAAAAGAATTTTGTTATTAAAATTTAGTTATTAATGTACCAACATGTTTTCTTAGAAAACTTTTCTTAAACAAATAAAAAGGACGTACTTTTAATATATCTTGTATACGAGTTAAATATGCGATCTGTTTTTAAAATTTCAAATTGCGCATTTCTCATGTCATTTCGTAAATTTCAAAAGTTTGCAGAAGCGAAGCTGAACGATGTTTGAAACTTTCCTTGATACACACGCACACACGCACAAGTAGAAAGTCCTCGAAAGAGGTATATAATGCAACCCTTACCGTGACATATTTTTTCTACAGCAGGTACGAAGAATTTATCGCATACTACTGCTAAAGCGATAAATAAATAAAGCGACACGATGACGTGTACGACAACTGCACCGCCTTGTCTTTGCTCCTCATCAAACAAGTCGTGTGGGAAATCTTCTATAGCCGGTGGCGTACAATTTATACCTAAAAACGTATAAATCACCTTTAAATAAAATGGCACAATACAACACAATCGTGGGCACAAAATCACCAGCGTTCTCGCGGCACATTCATCTTCTCTAAAATTTTCCTCGACAGCTTAAACGAAATAACTTTTCGTTTGAGTGTCGTCCGTTTTGTTTTCTATCGCGGAGACATTTTATTCTCGCAAGTTTGAGTTCCGCAGAGGGGCCATTGGCCTTATGACGGAAGTCATAAAGCCTTGAATTACTTCATCGATATCGCAAGCATTATCATCGGACATAATTGACGGAGATTGAACGCGCTCTATTGTGCCCGTGTTTTTCTTCTCTTTCTTTTTCTGAATAGACGTCCGAATTTTTACCGCATATAAATCAACGTCGCTATATGGGCCGAATTTAAAGAAATCCATTATATTACATTGTAACTATATTACAAGAGATGTTTGAAGAAGAGATGTTTTACGAATGAATACATAGATAACGCTGAGAGAAAAATTATTTCCACACGGAAAGAACGATTTTGCTGGATACAGATCTGAAAATAATTCTTGTTGGACTATCAAAATCATTTTGTTGGAAAGTTAAAAATAAGTATTTTTAACTTTTCAACATAATTATTTTGATATTCTAGCAGTCAGTTTGACTTTCCAACAACATTATTTTGATTGTCCAACAAAAATTATTTTCAGATCTGTATCCAGCAAAATTGTTCTTTCCATGCATGATTTTGTTGCGTCATCTTGTATATAATGTCACTGAAAAAATTTTATTTTATTCTGACAAATTTTATTTTAACGATAGTGAGAGTAAACGATGCTTTTAAAAAAATGGAAAAGTTAAAAAGTCGTTATTAAATATCTTGTAAAAAAGTTATGAATGTTATATATGTCAGCGTCTGAAATTTTATTTATTTGCAGAGCAAAAGATGGCGCAATAAAATCACGCGAATAATTTTGCTCTTCCCATCGTTATTTATATATTCATTCGCAAAACTTTGTAAATACCCCTCATATGTCGCAAAACAACTGTTTTAGTAAAGCCCTGCTTCCCCGACGATAAAGCTTCCGGCGGGAGAAACATTTTATTCCGCGATCTCTCCGTTTACTTTTTCGCGCTCGATCCCTCTCCGCTTCGAGGGCTATGATTTTGGCCGCACCTTGTGCCAATTCGTTGCAACCGCATAATACCCGAATGTACCGGAAGTACCGCACCTAAACAAACTCCGATGAAATGGATTTTTTTTGTCGTTGCATAATGCGAGGTACAAAAACCGCGATGCGTATTAACTAAACTCGGACACCGTCCGAGCATTCGTATTTATAGCATCGTGACGCAGAAACGGTATTTTTCCAAAGCGTTTTCGGTAATTCCGCGAGCGCGATCGCGCGCGCACTTCCGTCTCTCCGCGTTTACGTCACGCGCGCGTTCGCGCGAGATATTAACGTGCCGCGTAAAATCGTCGTCAATTACGTGTTTGCTGCTTTAATGTAAAGCAGAGGCCTTTTCCCCCGACCTCACGCGGACTCCGGCTCCGTATGGGTTAATACGATAAGAGCCGAGGGAAGAGCTTAAAGTTAACCATTATCTTTTTAGAGTCTGCCGGGCAGCTCGTTCTGGCGCTAAGAGGGAACGGCGAGGCGCGCGTGGTGCGACGAGGAGGAGGTGGATCGAGGAGGTGGTTACGAAATCGGGTGTATTAGCACGTACGTTGACTCGCCGAATAGGAACGTTCCCGCTGAAACGCTGAACGCTGACACGAAATGTCACGCATATGCACCGGCCGCCACACGTACGGACGCGGCCTGACGCGCGACGTCGGCTGCGCGACGTACGGTGTGGACGGTCCAAATCGGGATCGTGTGGTGGTAAGATAACGATACGCCAAGTAGGAAACGTCTCGTTACCGTCCGCCATTACTTCAATTTTATGGAACCCGGCGTGTCGTGCCCGAATTATTTGGCGAACGCATCAGGCCGGAGCCTGCCGCTGCGGCACAAAAGTGGGCCTCAAAGCCGGGCATTGCCTGCATGCACCGTGCGAAAAATGTATGCGACTGATCACGTACCTACGTGTACCGAATGTGTACGCGCGAGCGGCCCGCTCGTTAGCGCCAATTTTAGCGAGCGAATTTTCAAAGGCGACTCTTCGCAGAGCATTTATCGAACTGTCGTATATATATATATATATATATATATATATATATATATACATATATATATATATGTATTATAGATACATATCCGATTGCGATTCGCGTTCTCTCCATTTCACGGAGACGCGATCGATCCTATCCTGTCCGCGCTCGTCAGGTTGTCATCCGGATGTCACGTCAATTACGAAAAAAATAAAAAATAAAAAAAATAAAAAAATTGAAAAATTTTTCTATTTTGAAACGTACCTTCAAGTTGTCAGAACGAACTTTTATCCGCGTCAATAATCGACGTTTGGAGATATAACATCCCATCGATATGTAACACGTCGATCTTTGTTTACGACACACAAAATCAACAACTGAAATTCAGAAATAAATTCTAAGATCTCACGTGTTAAAGATTCCGACGAGGTCTCTCTTTGTTTCTGAAAAATTGCCAATTTTGCTGATGCGAACGTAACGCAGCCGCTGTCTCATTGTATTTGCGTGTTCCTGCTTGAACCAGAACCTGCCACTCAACAGTTAATTTAACGAGACAATGATAAACTTCTGCGAGTGCTAAATAAAGCGAGCAATTTGGACACATCGCGAAAAATTCTTTCGCGATGCAAAAATAGGATAGCACGTTATTTATTCAGACGCTACTTGATCGCTCCTTTTGTGTTGAATTATTAATGTTGCCCGTTCATTTCAAGTATTTTATCGGATCACCGGTAATGGGCGTCTGATCAAGATTATCCTTTCAAAGGATTAAATATCGCCGGCATAATGGCGATATAAGTTCGTGTGCTTGGATTACTTAATTGTCCCGTCGCGCGATAATAGAATCAACAACAATAATTTTACTCTCGTGAATATAAATATATATATTCTCTCAAAATATTTTAATCTTTCTCTACTGTCCTCCCTCCCGCCCCTCCTGCCTTTTCCCTCGTCTTCTCTCGAGGAGACGTATGCGTATTGGTGCCTCTTACCGGTATATATCGCTATGTGACTGGATGTGACTTCCTACCGATTAAGCAGCCTAAAGAAGTTAAATTGCTCTCATTCAACTTGGCAGAACAGATGCCATTCATGTCTAATGTACGTCGTATAAACGTAGATATATCACGACGACTCAACGACTCTCCCGGGGCTCCACGGCGATTCGTTCGGTCGGAAGGGCGCGGCGCAAGTTGCCGGCGGATGGTGGCCGATGGACGGACGGATGGATGGATGGATAATCGGTTAACCGCCGAATTGTCGATAATCAGCGCGATATGTCCCCGCAATTATCAGCGTTTCCTTCGCGCCTTCGCGCGCGCGGCGATCCCGCGATTTTTCACTTTAATCGCGTCCCTTTCCGCGAAGCCATCGTAGGCTTCAGCGTCTTTTTACGAGACACAGGAAGCACTATAAATATAATGTCGTAGCGCAGGAGACGTAAACGAACGGCTCACATTGATTATCGTCGCGCGTTTTCGTAATACGTCGCACTTTGCGGTGTGCGAAGACAACGGAGCAGCGCGATTTAAATCGACCGATATCGTAAGGAGACTCATAATGAATGGCAAACGGACAATATTGAGAAAAGAGATAAATATTTTGAATAACTGACTGTACAATAAATAAAATCTATTATTTCTAATGAATATTTTTCACGAAAGCATACTGGAGATAAAAGATAATGAATATTTTTGTAACGGGTTTGAACGATGAAAGATGAATGATGTTCCTTTCCTTCCTTTTAAGATAATTTACATTTTCGGATTCTCTCGAAACAAAAAATCGTCGGCTGTTATTCACTTTTAGTTGACTCGACTTTATCACAGTTGCCTAAATTCTTATACTCGAACCGCTTGTCATTTGTGTTGAAGAGAAGCCTTTGGATTTTTTTGTTAATTTATAAATATTGATCCTCTCATTGTTGTTATTGCAAATTAAGTTAAGCAACGTCAGCGCTAGCCGCCATCGAGTACAGCAATTTCCCTAACTTCTGTGTCACAATGATTGATGATCAATCCATAATTGATTAATCTGTTATTTCCCATTTGCGTTCGTGAAGAAACATCCATTATCTTTCATCTCCAATGTTTTCGTGATAAATATTCATTAGAAATAATAGATTTTATTTATTGTATAAGCAATTATTCAAAATATTTATCTGTTTTCTCAATACTGTCTGTTTATAATAGAAAATAGAACACATAAACACAAGAATGAACTAGTGATAGATTTAACTTATTAATAATTGTAATAACTATTCTTCTCTTCACAAAACAAAAATTTTAAAAAGTATCATTTTCAAAGAATGTGACGACGAGCGGTTTGATTTATATGTAAATTTAATTTTATGGTCAATTGTCATACTGGATAAGTGAATGACAAAGAACGTGTTAGGATGATGGGCGATGGACGAGCGTTTTTATTAATTCTCATTAATTCTACGTCATAAATGATTATGCTTAATGAGTCGTTTTAAGCTCTCTAAAGCTCCCCGTTATTTCTCGGCTCAAACTCTCGCTAGGCTATGACTTTAATTAATTACATTAATTACTTCGCGAATGTTGCTTTTATCAAAGATCAATGTAAGCAGATGCTTCATCTGATGAAGTGCGAAGATAAACTTTTATATTGTTTATATTGTTAATATTAATATGCCATTAATAGGCTTATAACTTCTAGGGAACTTCAGCTTAAAGGATATTTAAGAAATATTTTCAGAAAATTTATAAACTTTTTAAGTAAGTATTCTTCAGACGTTTGACATCTAATTAATTTCAATATCGCTTCTCTCGAAAATAACAAAAAATAAAGATGAAAAAACATTTGCAATAAAGATGATGTTCCTGATAATTCATTAAAAGCTTATCTTCATATTTTACATAATTAGAACATGATTGTCGATATCTTACTGGTAACGAGGATAATCTAACTAATTGTTCGACCAACAAATTAATCGAATTTATTAGGAAATAATTCGACATTATTTTAATGTTTTTAGTGACGTTTTGACGTCAAATGACATTTTTGCCGACATTTTAACGTTAAAATAACGACAAATAATGTTAGCTTGTTTCCCGGAAAACTCGAAGCGCAGTTTTTACTGGTGATATGAATTAATTATTTTAAATTTTGCTAGATTGTTAATATAAATGAAATACAGTTGCGCAGCTCATATATGTAAAAAATAATTTATCTTCCTACATATATCTCACGTTACTTTTAAAAAGTTTCATGTGCAAGGAGAACTCAATGAGAATTAATTAATCATTCCATAGTTTTAAAGTGCTTAACATTTATCCGTGATTTTTAAATTAGATAATAAATCAACTTCCGTATGAATTCATGCGCAGTTTGTGATTTATTTTCGTAAATTTTCGTGAAACAATATAAATGAAAGAATGCCATATAATGCCAGATGATCAAATACACGAGAAGCAATATATGCACAAGCAATATTTCGTCCGTAAATAAAATTTACAGAAATAAAAATACATCCACATACAATAAAATGTACTTGTGCCTACTCACATGAAACACATATTCATTTCATAAATACATCCGATATGAGACTTAAAGATTTCAAATTTACGAGTGAATTAAGTAAGAAGTAAATGAATGAATCCCTTTAATTTACAAACAAACGTGAGACATAAGTATTCAGTAATTATTTATGAAAGTAGAATGTCATAATAATTTTGGAAGAAAGAGGAAAGGGAAGAAAGTAAAAAGCAGAAAAATTTTTGAAGAATATTATATGCGAATTAAAGATAAAATAAAAGCAAAAATAAAAAAATTTGTAGAATGGAAAGAAAAGCCTTCAACTTCAAGTATCGAATCTGCACGAAGAGAACGGTTTTGCTGAAGTATCTATAAAAATTTAGTTAGACACATTTCTGAGAATAATGTTATTAAACTTTCAAATTTATTATGTAGGACGCTCAAACAGCTGATTCCTAGAATATCAAAATTTCTTGCAACATTGCTTATGTTTGAATTTCTTATATAATTATTTTGATGGTTCAACAAAATTATTTTCAGATCTATATCTAGCTAAATTTTTCTAGCTAGATATTTCAACAAAATTATTCTTTCTGTGTACAGAAACCTTTCATGATCGGATGCCAAGACAAAAAGAGAAAAACAAAGCGAGGGAGACAAACAGTTCAATTTGACAGATCTAGAAAGGAAAATAAAGCAGAAAAATGAGAAAGAGAACGACAGAAGGAATGTATATGTATGTCGTGTTCTCATAAGATATTCTATATTGACTTCGTATAATGTCACGAATATCGCGAATGAAATAAGGGGGGAGGAGGGGAAGAATTGCATTTGTACGTATTTTCAACTGAGCACTTTCTTCGCCAAAACGGCCACGGGTTCTCTCGCTCGTCGTTTATCGCGGGACGGACTATCGACACTATTGTCAAACGCGGAGAACGTCCTGGGTCTACGATTTCCGCACATTTTCCCGTTTTTCCACAGTACGACAACTCTCCGCGTTTGCGGTGAAGCGCGCGGGGGGAACACTCGAAAAGAGAAAGAAAACGAAAGTGAAGAAGAAGAAAGACGCGAGCCGAAGGAGCACGCCGAATGCACCCGTGTGTGTTCGCCACCCCGTCACCCCTTTCCCTGCTTTTTCTCTCCAAATTTTTTCCTTTCCTTTTTTTTTGTCGCGTCTCGCCACCGTTTCCACGCCGTTTCTCTGCCCGATTTCCCCCCCGGATGCGCGGGTCGAACACCATCCTGTGTGCATCGTGTGTACGAAACTGTTTCAACACGGTCCCGCGGTTCTCCTCCGGTGCGATATTATCGAAAATAAGATTCGAACACACCTCCTCCTTGGTCAGACGTATCCATGTTGTCAATCCCGTTGTCACACACATACTACATTAACATCTACTCCGAAGTCCGACATCGTTTGTTGGAATCGCCCCTCCCTCGCTGGCTCGTCTCTCTCTCGCGAGTAGCGCCTGTTGCTGGATCGTGCCGCATGTAGGTGATGTGCCTCCAGCCTCCCAGACTCCGTGGAGGAGCTTCCGAAATTTGCGACACGCAAACACGCATCCGCCACTTTCGAGCGATCCGCGACATCGACGCACATCGACCGGGCTGGAAGGAAAAAAATATGTAATACACGCTCGTACTTCTCTCGATATAAATTTATGCAAGCACACTTTGTGCCCGCGTGATGTGCGATCGAGATCGTTTATGCAAATTCGACGAGAGCGACACCGTAGAACGAGAAGCAGTTCAGTAACAATCATTAGCGGACCGGCGTTCTCGTTCTTGGTATTCTCATGTGCATACGTATCTCTTTTGATTGCGAAAATTAATACAATTATACGAAACTGTATAATTTTAGACTAATTGAATACTGTCGCAATTTCAATTCTTCTGATTTGATTTAAGTTTCTTACAATCGCCGAAAATCTTTTATAAAAACGTTTTATAAAAAATTATAATAGAGATCCTACTCGAATGTTATAATCTACTACTTTTTATTATCTATTATTCTAATAATAAATAAGCTTTTAATTAGTAAACACAAAGCGATACCGTCTCCCTGAGCTTCCCCTAAGAACTTAAATCCAGTTGGAGGAGCTCGAGCTCGAGAGTCTCTCGAGAGGCTCTATTATACGCTCACGTGTATATCAATTCGCCTGGTGCAGACGCACCAAACCGCCGTGCTGTCTGCGTTGATTTGACACGTAAGTACCTCTGCATCTGCATTAGAATTAACACGCGCGACGCTAGTTTAATTGCATTATTTTTCGGCCCGATTTATCTGGCTCTTCAAATAACCCACATATTTCACAATTAAGCTTTCGCAATTATCAGACCTCGACTTGCATGCTCATTACGCATTTATGATTTTAATAAAAAATTTTATATTTAATAAATTATAATTAATTTAATCATATTAATGAACTCCACACTTTGAATTTTAATAAAATAAACGGGAACATCCTTATTATGTCGATGTCACCGTATATTTTATTGTAACAGTAGTCAGATAATAAAATTATTACATCTTAAAAATTAGATTGCAAGTAGCAGTTTCCGTGAAACATTTCACAAATTTCAAAGGGAAATTATTATAATTGGTGGTAATTACACAAGTCTGAAAAAGATATGGGAATTTAAGGAATTTTAGACAGCGAAAAAGAAAGCAAAAAAATGTTGTAGCTATATTAAGTAATAGCTGACAGCTATTATAGTTTACAACGGTATTACAAAGATCTTACGGAGAAGAACAGCTGGTTTTATCTAAACTTGCAAATTCCGATTCTTGAATCCCTTGAACGGTTATTTCCAATAGTTGGATGTAATCTAGCTGCAATAGGTACTAAACATCGAGACACACACACGCAATTTACCGATAATAATGTAAACATTGGTTCTAGGTATTATAGTGGTATCAGTTTATTATCATTACGTACGTGCGTAATACAGTAAGCTCTATATATATTCTTAATCGCGACGAGAAATCTATTTTGATAAAATTTAATAACTAAAATAATCTCTGAATAAGTGAACTTATATACATAAATCTGAGTGATACCTTTTGCGTTTTTTGCTAACAATGAATTTTGTTTGTTCTTCACAAAGGTATTTATGCACAAAAGAATCATAGCTGTTTTATGAGATGCATTAAAACTAATAAGTGATAAGTATTCAATGCAAAAACCGTGCGAGAGACCTTTAAACTTTAAATAATAATTATTCGCACGTACCTATTTCTTTTGTAGTGTTTCTTATATATCATTTTTTATATGACAACTGTTGCTTTACAAAATGTTTTGTATAACGAAAATACAAAGTATTTTGCGAAAAACGTGATGTCGTGGAATATACCTATAATAGAATATACAAATACACAATTTAACCTCGATAACTCGAATCTCAAGAAAAAAGCTATAAAAATCTTCGAGTTACAAAAGTTTCGACTTATCAAAGTTCCAGTAAAAGAGAGTTAACATACAAAAATTCGACTTACGGAAGCTTTGTACGAAAGTTTAAAATTTTCCGATTATAATTTTAAAGGAAAAAATCGAGTGGTTTTAGAATAATAGAGATTCAACTGTATATGCGAATATATTTTCATTGCAAAGTAGAAACGTCAGAATGCATTCCAACCACAGACATCTACATAATACATCTATATAATATTATAGATGTCTGTGATTCCAACTGATTCGTCGAACCGATTCATAATAATATTTGTTCTATATGGTTACAGGGCGATAAATGACGGCGCCTCGCGCAAATAAAAGTTGATACGTGCGATTAGAAAAACCGTGCGACACTGTTCTCCACGATATATCGGAAAAAAAAGAAAAAGAAAAGAAAAAGTTCTATTAGTCGAGAATCATGGCGCAATTCCCGACGATTTCAAAAGATATCGGTTTCGATTTCAAAGATATTAATTAAGTTCGCGCGATATCATCCTGTGATCTACGATAAATTCGAAAATTAAATAAAGTGTAAGTATCGCGCACGAGGCCGAAATAGCTTTATATAATAATCGGCTGTGTATAGCCAACTCGAAGTAAGGTGGAACGACAGGGACGATTTCCCGAATGAACACAAGCTCGACGAGGCCGTGTTGCCGTTTACGAAGGAAGGTTGAAGTTAGAAATCGCAACGGGGGCAGTCACGGAAACTTTCCTGTCGCCTTTTAATCGAACGTATAAGAACGCGATTGCTTTAAACAGTATCTTATCAGTGCCGCTAGTCCGTGTCGTGATAAATCTCCGACGGACGAAAAATATAAGCGTGTAGTCGAACTCTACGTGCCGGATAAACGGCAGGTAACCGCTCCGCGCATCGCGTCGAGATCTCTCGTGACATCTCTCAGTTCCTCGCACGTATCTTATACATTATCCGAGAAGGACCAATACCTCACGCACGTTCTTACGTAACAAAGGATGGTATGGCGGCGCAGGCAGACGGTCGGATACCGGATACTTTTCATTATTACTATACCAGCTACGTACTTTTTTTGCGCCAGTTTAATGGGACTGTTATCTGACAGTACGACAAATGTCGGCTACGCTGCGGACTGGCGTGAGTATATAAAAAAAAATATAACACACTTCTCTCCGCTTTTCTCTGGGTCGAGGGCCGCGAAGCGGAAAAAGGAAAACTCGGCGAACGAAACGCGCAATTTAAATTTTTTTCTCTCTTTACTTTTTTTTTTACATTCTACATGCCACGACATACGTTCTTCTCTCGTGCTTCAGGAGGACGTAGATTGCTGCAGACGAGCGAGTTGGAGCAGCTTGGGAACGACAGCTACAACTGCACGCCACCGGCTATCAACGAATTCCCGCCCGACGGCCTTACGCGGCAGCAAAGACAGGCAGGATTCATAATAATCCACTTCGTCATCGCTATTTATCTGTTTTTATTACTTGCCATTATCTGCGACGACTATTTCGTTCCCTCTATTAAGAAAATTTGCGAGAGTGAGTACTTCAAGAGAATCCATCCGTTACGGAAATCCATCCGTTTTTTCACGTGACTTTAATATGACCTCACTGCGGCTCCTCTCTCTCTCGTTTCTCGCTATGACGAGCGTAAGACGTTTTGCAGTTTGGTGTATTATGTCGTGCGTTTTATTACACACATTGCGTTTTATTGCGTTACATATACTTTTCCTCGTATACAAGTGTGCACTGACATGCGTAAATAAAAACATAACGAAATGTCACACGACAGAGCTCAATGTCACCGAGGATGTGGCCGGCGCGACCGTGATGGCAGCCGCGAGCTCGAGCCCGGAATTGTTCATCAACGTCATCGGAACCTTCGTGACGGAGGGTGACCTGGGGGTCGGCACCGTCGTCGGCTCCGCGGTGTTCAACATACTGGCCGTACCCGCGTGCTGCGCGATATTCGCGAACGAGGTAAAAAAATTCGCGCGATTAATAAAGCCCCGGGTAATCTCGGCGAGAAATGACTTATTGATGTCGAATCGACTATTTCTCACTGGGACACGTTTACATTCTGTGCGATATTATGAACTTTCGATCTTCAGAAGTCAGACTTCGCTTTCAGTATACTTTTAAATTTCTATCAAATTGTTTATTCGAATTAGTACTTTAAGCATACTTTTACACAAGTTTCTTTCAATTTCTACACTGAGAAAGAAAGTTGATAACTATAAAATTGTATGAATGAACACCGGACGTGATAAAGTTCATTATTGTTATCTGTTGCACAAATGTCGCACAAGTTCACTTGCTATAAGCAGTGAACCACCAAATCCGATCCGAATGCTGGATATTTGATCAAATCAAGAAAAGGAAAATTATTTAAATAAATTATAATACTTAAATTAAATGACTTACAATATACGAAAATGAATGTCCAAACATTCGCGTTTGCTGTTTGCTCGATAATACGCTATACTCGCTACGAGTATGCGAATAGCCAGCTTAAAATTCTCAAGGGTTCTCTTCTGCGTTTCGACTCTCTTCCTTCTTATCACGTGCCGATTATCGCATTCGCAGGTGCTGCATCTGGAGTGGTGGCCCATATCGCGCGATACGCTGGCGTACGCTTTCACAGTATTTCTCCTGATCCTGACACTATGGGACGGACGTGTCGAGTGGTACGAGGCGCTCGTCCTCGTCTCTTGTTACGTTCTATACATATCAGGTGATACATCAGGCGAATGAAGCGAATCGCTTCGAAAAACCCGAAAAAAATTATCTCGCTTGCTATAGAGCAACGCGCGCCACGCAAATTCAGATGAGGTGACCGGAAGTGAGAATATCCGGAATGCACTTTATTTGCATTAACAAATTTAAAGCGCGAAAGATTTAAGATTTAGCTTTGCCAAAGTTGTCTGCCAACGTCTTTAATTAAAAGTTGTCTGCCAACGTCTTTAATTAAAACAGAATACCGTAATAATTACCGTAATAATTGGGACGTTTACGTTTTTCAGCAATGTGCTTCAATCGTCGCATCAACAATTTCATAAGACGAATAACGTCCAGGAGAAAAAAGTACAAAAATATTTGTGAGGACAGTCCCCTCCTGCCGAATCGTAAGATCGCTACGATATAATTCATTGTTATCGCCTCTGCAAAAATAAGTGGAATTAAAAGAAATTGATACAATTTCATTCTGTGCGCTATTATAAACTTTCAATCTTCAGAAGTCAGACTTCACTTTCAACAGTTTTAAGTTTTTTTCAATTCAGTACTCCAAGTATTTTAAGTTACTTTCAATTTTTATACTGAGAAAAAAGTTGTTGATATAACTAAATGCGTTTTATTGACAGTTTTTCTTTAGTTCAATTATATAATACATGTGTTTTTGAGTTAAATATATATACATCAACACATTAAAATGATATTTTCGTAAAATTAGTAAGTATTTTGTTAAATTAACAATAAATAATTGTTTGACAGCGTCGTGTACGGTTAAATTATGAGAATATTTTTTTTACACTTTTTCTTTCTCAGCGTATCAAAGCGAACTTTCCTTTATCTCTCTTAATTTCATCAGTTGCGTGATTATGATTTAATGCACGGTTTAATTAATATGAATTTGCATAAAAAAGTATTATATATATTAGAAAAAGAACAAATTCTCGAACGACACAATATTGCTGTGTCGTGTGACGAAAGCAGAAGAACCAACATTTCTTAAATACAGTGTCTGACTTCGCGTATTGAGAAGTTTGCCGCAGAATAAATCTCTGTCAATCCTTTTTGATCCACGTATCTCTTTGCAGGGATTGCGTTCGATAACTACTCGTAAGAAATGTAATCTCATGCTTGGCTATCTTTCTAAAATGAATAGATCTCGTGAAAGAAACGGAGATCATATGTGTTAGTTCGAGTGACCAAGATGAATCAGGTATGCATTACAAGACACGACATGTGTTACACCTAACATAAGTATAATGTCATTTCACATAGCATCTTTGCGCCTTTGAAATCTTAATGTAGAGTATAGAAATCCTTTTTCTCCAAAACGCGCACATATACATAGGTCGTGTCATATATACTGCCAGTATTGAAAAATTTATAATATACGCAAACTATAGATTTTAGATGCAGTGGCTGGCAGAATACATATATCGAAATATGTCCACACATCACGCGGATGATGTGGATGAACTTATATAGCTGATATATCGGCTAGTTACGTAGTTTTAAAAATATTTAATTTAAATTATCCAAATTTAAACTATCAAATTTTTTCAATTAAACTTCAAAACTTTCCATACAAAATATAAACGATTTTGAATATAAAAAGAAATCTATGTGATTTATTTATGTCGACTATTTGCGTAGTATAAAATTAATTAATTAAAAATATCTCAAAGAGGACTCAAACTTTAATAATTATATTTCAAAAAATTCAAAAGACTTCACACGAAGTATAAACGGTTTCATAAGAAAATCATTGTCGGCTAAGTTTATTCGAAAACACGCATGCATATTAATACAGTATAGAGCTCTCATTTGATGATGGCAAATAGAATCATTTTTGTAATAAAAGAATATCTAAATAAATTTATTTTTTACACTCGTTAACGTAAAACTGCAAATTGAGAATCGATGGTTGGTGTGAATCTGGGACGTAGTTTGCGCGTGCAACAAATCAAATTCTATAGTACAAATAATTAATATGTTTATGATTGGGGATTCCAAATTAAAAATTTAAGCATTGAGAAATTCGCACTGACCATCGATATAATTATAAAAGTTATAAAATGTTTACCTTGTCTCTTTCTAGACGATATCGTGAATATGACGACCTGGCCGAGTTCCACGTGCGAGAAGATATGGTGGGTTGTCACTTGGCCCATCAATCTGGCATTATTCCTTACCATACCCGATTGTAGAAGAAGCAAGCTGAGATCTTGGTATTCATTAACGTTCTTCATGTGCATAATATGGATCGCGACTTCGTCTTATGTCATTGGATGGGTCATCACTATTATCGGTGCGTGATCGATCAAACATTTGTATTAATTATACAATTATAGCCAGCCAAGTTTGTCGAAAATAAATTTTGCAAAGTGCTGCTATACATTTTATCGACAGAATGCCAATAGCAGTACAATAGAACGTGTTGAGAGAATAAAGTGGTGAATTAACTGCAGATATCGAACACACTCTAATATTATTTATATTATTATTTATATTCCATTAAAAGCCGCGAAATAATAGATTTCGCTCGGTTTCTATCAATAATGCTATCAGATTACATCGGCAAACTTTATTGACAGAATGCAAAATTATGCCGTTGTATGTTAATGTACCACAATATTCTGCTCGAATCTGCTGGCAAATTGCTAATATATTGCTAACATTTGGATTACTAAAATTGAAACACGAAAACTTTACTGGGGAAAAAAATTTTGTAAAATACTGACTAGTGCCGAAACATCAAACTTTATGTAACTATATAAGCGTTATATGTTATTATTAAGATGTTATTACCTCGGAGTTATATGTTATTATTAAGATGTTATTTCGGAATAATACCTCGATTATATTCGAAAATCGATGATCCTGATTTCAAATTTCATCAATATAATTCCTCAGACATTTTTTCAGAATCTGTTTAGTATATGATTGATAGCACCTGCTGTCATTATTTATATTTCAGGCAATACCTTCAGAATTCCTGATTCCATTATGGGTTTAACGTTTCTCGCGGCGGGGATGAGTGTACCTGAAGCAGTGTCGAGCGTTATCGTTGCCAATCAAGGTACCGTAAATATTAAACTTTTGAACAATTGATTGCCGCGTCAGATCGCGACGAGGCGACAACATAATTTAACATAAATTTCCGTTTCGTTTTGTCCTTAAATATATGTATATGTATCAAATATAAATTATTATGACTTTCCAGGTTACGGAGCTATGGGGATAAGTAATTCGATCGGGTCGAATGTATTCGATGTGTTACTGTGCCTCGGACTGCCATGGTTTATTAAGTCTACACTATTACCAAAAGTATCTGGACAGTATTTTGTTCAGATTAATTCTCAGGGGCTAGTTTATAGCTCGGTATCTCTCTTCTCGACGTTACTTATCCTATACGGATCTTTATTTATTAACAAATTCACGTTAAACCGCACAGTTGGTATCGTCTGTCTCGTTATGTATGCCGTATTTTTAATATTCGCATCCATTGTAGAGCTCAATACGTTTTCCGTCGTTAATTTACCGATATGCGTCGACTAGCAATAATATCGGTTTCATTAAAGCGATATTCACCCTCATTGATATCCACATAAATTTGCACGTCACAGTGAATTCTTACTTAATACGCTTGTATGTACAATTTTTGTTTTATATGATAAAACAAAAGCATCTGAATATATTAAGTATTAATTAATATATCTAAATAATAATTATGATATATCCTGATCACATATGTAAATATGCATAAAGATTGTATTATCTTTTATACTTGTGTTTATTTCGTATGCTTATGTAACTAACGGTAACTTAACTACATATATGAATCTAGCCTTTATATATACACATACAGAAAAGAAAATTGTTTGTGCTTCTATTATTTGTTTTTCACAAACTTTCATGTTGCCTCTTATTATCCTCGAATTTCGGGACACCCTGTATCGTTTCCCTTCCAGGATTACAAGAGCTTCTGTATTGCTGTTTAACAGAATGATACAAATAGCTAGCTTTCATATCTAATACTTTAACAATTTTAGTTATTTAGCAATTCACAAAACTGATCAAATCATACCACTGTTATGAATTTCTTTTAAAAGTTTGTGAACAAAGATATAATATATAAGATCACATATATGTATTTGTTTATATGTATGTTATTATGTTCGCTTTTGACATTGAAAGATTATTTTCATCAATATCCTTCTTCGAGTCAGTTATAGCTGTAGATAATTGTGTAGTACATTTGATCAGTTTCATAAGAAATATATAAAGTCATATTATCTTCAAAAAATATCGTGGTTTCTATAAATTTAAAACTTTAAAAATTTAAAGATATAATAATCAGACTATTACAAACGAAATTAAAGAATAAAGCGCAGTATTAAATAATTCCACTATATAAAAATACACTTCGTCACATATATCTGAGAATGTGTGCGATTTTATCACTCTGTCATGTAGTTTATACATTTAAAAATTCTTATAAAAGTATAAACAAGACTAAAGTTATTTATTATATATAAATTTGTTTTATTTCATCGCTTATTTATTTTAAATTTGCTCATGATAATTGACCACAATCCGCTATCATAATTTTCTGATATGTCTTTCCAGTCGACGAGCCGTAACTTTCAATTTTCCTTACAACATCCATTCCTTCAAAAACATTACCAAACACAACGTGTTTATTGTCCAGCCAAGGTGTCTTGATAGTGGTAACAAAAAATTGCGAGCCATTTGTATTCGGCCCGGAATTTGCCATCGATAGTGTACCCATGGAGGTATGCTTGAGCTCGAAATTCTCATCCTCAAACTTCTCTCCGAAGATGGATCTTCCACCAGTACCATTGTGATTCGTAAAGTCACCACCTTGGCACATGAAGTTTGGAATTATACGATGGAAATAGCTCCCTTTGTAACCATAACCCTTCTCTCCCGTGCACAAGGCACGAAAATTTTCCGATGTTTTTGGCACAACGTCAGTACGTAATTGCATCACAATTCGTCCCAGTGGCTTTTCGTCCACAGAAATATCGAAGTACACTAGTGGTAAGTTCATCTTGTGCTCGTGACCATTCATCAATCCAGTAGAGAGAAGCTGGAAGGAAAACGATAATCAAAATTAATATAAAAATTATATTATATAACTTTATAAGAACGAAAATCAAAGAGAACTGAATTTCAACAGGAATGTTTGACCACTACTATTTTGTGATACTTACGTATTATTTTCTTTTTACAATGTTTACAAGAAATTTACATTAATTATAGAAATTATGAAATTTAAAATAATTTTTAATAGTTAAGGCTCTATAATTAAAAATAAATTAATACATATAATCGGCTATGAGCCAAAGCTTATAGATGTTTTTTCGCTCCGATATTTAACAAGTAAACATTCAATAACTCAATAAACATTCAATAACGTCGAAACAGACAACTTTTCGACCCCGATCGAGTCATTATCAATGTTACAAAACGGTAATCGGATTAAAACGTTACATATAATAATTTAAAAAATTATGAATTTTAGTTCTTGTACATCTGAACTGATTCGCACATTAAAGAATGTGATATAATTTTTATATAATTTTATACATGTACGTACCTAATTAGAATTTGCTTTCTTTTGATACAATTATCGTTTTTAACCTCTGTTTCTCCTTCTCCTTTAGCTGTCTCTAACTATGTTTGGTCTCTTCAAAGGCACAAAGCTAATGTAATCCCTTTTGCAACGGCCCGCGATTTCTTTCGGACCGAATTAATTCGGACCGTCTCACAGATTTTTGAATCACTACATGTGATCGCACTGCCGAAAGTGTCGAACGATGTGCTTGTTATTACTTCGATTACTCCGAGAAAACCCACGTGTTCCGCACAGACGAGAATTCTCTAGATCGCATGCCTCCAATAAATTTTAAAATTCTCTGCCTATATATAGTGGTTTAGTGAGGGCACTGGCGGCGCTCCTACCTCAGCGCATGCGCACAAGGCGAATCGTCCGTCTCGAGAGCAGCGCTCGCCCGTCCGCCGTGGAATTTATTCTCAAGCAGTGAGGCGGGTCGCACGTATGTGGCGTTAGGAGCAGTTCGGGAAGATTGAGGTTAGACTTTCGGTAATCAGGCAGAAGTTAGAGTTAGAGTCGGTGTTGGGCCTCGATTTGTTGGGTTATATTCGTAACGCTGACGACAATGTCGAGGAAGCAGAACAAATCGTGGGGTGGACGAGGAGGAAACAACTACCGCGGGAGAAACGATCAGAACAAGCTGTACTTCGGTGAGTAACCAGCACGAATTTGTAGCCCGCTACGCATGATTTTCGGTCCTCGGCCGTACTTAAGTATCTCGGCAGCATATTCGCCTCGCGTATTCAACGAGCGTGTCGATAATTTCTCCCGCGCATTCAATCGTTCGCGTTCACCTCGCTTGCTTCATCTCGCTTTTATTTATTCTGCGCGAGGCCGCCGCCGTGCGCCGCGATGTGTTTGCAAGATGAACACCAACGCATCGCATAATCGTACGTGATCCACAGCTTCGTAGTTTTACGCGTCGCGTGCATTCACACGCTTGGACGCTTTTTCTTTCCAATGGGTGAAAATCCGGGTGAAATCACCTCGCAGGGGTGGCAATCGTGCTAAAGGGTTTTTTCTCCCTTAATGAAAAAACAGGGAGACTTTCTATAAGACCCTTATCAAACATTAAGAGTAGGTAGATTTTTCGTGACATCCTTTTTCGGGAGACCCTAGTGTGATATCAAAGAGAGCAGGTAGATTTTTCATGACATCTTTTTTTGTTGCGTGCGGCGGTTGGCAAGATTTCTCTTCAATCTTCGAAAATTTCTTCAAATTTTTTTAAGTTACAAATCGTTCATTATGTAAGTAGATTACTAGTTGTAATATGTTAAATTTATTATTTTTGAAAAACAAATTTCTTGGAAACTGCGTAACAACTCGTCAATCAAATGTTTTTAAGTATTACAAAAATTAACTTTTTATTATGTTTCTTTTATATACCGCGATTTTATCTAATTTTATTAACATAATTTTGTTAACATTTCTTGCTGCATATAACAAAATTTTGTATTACAAAATATTTTGGCAATAATGCAAACTTTGATTTTAAATATATTCGCAAAAAAAAGAAATATTTACACGATATAAACATTATATGGTAGCGTTCGGGCTAAAATACCATATAGAACTTCATAAAGAGTCACTTTAACCAATAATCGCTGAACATTAAAGATGTCGAGATAACTGTTTCATGATAAAAATAAATTATTATCATTTATTCATATAAATTTTACTGCTTCATTTTCTGTTCTTAGGCCACGATGATCGAGGAAGAAATATGGGAAGAGATGGTGGACCACATGTCGGTCCAATCAAGCATCGCGTTTCCTTCAAGCCTTTTCATAGACCAAACAATAGGGATATAATGTCAAGAAATTTGGCATTTGCGAGTTTAGATGATATTCCAATGATGACCGGTTCTAATAACAATACGAGGCAGGTGATAATTAATCAGAGGAATAATAGAGATAGGGGCGATGGGAATTGGAGGACTGTTCCCCATGGAAGGAATAGTTCCATGCCGAATAGGAATTTCAAGGGAGGTCAGCCAGGTCCTAGGATGCGACCTCTTCCTTTGGAACAATTCAATTGGTATAAAATTGAGGTACGTTTCTGTAATTACATTTGGTGTAACAATTAAGCTCCCAGACATAAAAAAATTCGGGGGCAACAATCGACTTTTTAACAAGAGATTCCCATGTTAACCCATCTGCCCTATTCGCCTGATTTAGCGCCTTGACTTTTTTTATTTCCTAAATTAAAAATTGCACTTAAAGAGATGTGATTTGAGGATCTAATACACTGATAAGAGAATTGAAGGTGGATTTGGGAAGAAGCGTTTTCTTGAGTATTGAATTCATTGTACAAACGATTAAATGTATACAGAACGGGAAGGAGGGACTATGTTGAATGATAGTATTAATAAATATTTTCAATCTTTGTATGTTTTTTATGGCCTTAGTCTGGGAACTTAATTGTCAGATTATATACATTACATTTATATAGATTTAGAATAAATTTCTATCTATATTTTGCAGATATCAGACGGTCGTAAGTACGAAAAAGAGTTTGTGATAAATACTCTATTGAATATGGTACCTGAAGTCATTCCAATAATGGTAAATAATACTTATTTCTTAGAAAATTCAGAATATTATGTTCAATGTATGTTTTAATATGACACGAATAAATATAAAACGAAATTGTTTATATAGTACAAAATAATGGGGAATGATGCTGTTTTCTACGTGGATGATCAGAAGACAGCAAAGGCGTTAATGAATTGCAACCATAAGATTACAATGAACGATGGGTCTAAGTTGAAAGTGAAGATAGTCGAATCACGTTTCCCTGCTTGTAAGATTGACGATAAATTGAAAGACAGATTGAAGCAAGCAATGGTTAAGAGATATGTACAAGAGACAAATGCTCTGAATTTAAGCAAGTTCCATCTGGATCCGGGTAAGAAGTAAAAAATATAAACTGAAATTATAAATATATTAAAGATAACAATATGTCAAAGATGTTAATTGATGCAATTTGAAAATTCTAACTTGCGTCTTCTAATAATTCACCTTACAGAACTTTATACTGACTACTTTTACGCATTGTTCCAACCCACTATGTTGACGACCGTATTGGATATTGTGGCGCAGCATATTCCGAATTTAGAGGCTCTAAATTTGGAAGGCAATAAGTTAAAGAATATTGAAAGCGTGTTGGCTAAGAAATTCTCGAAATTGAAGATTCTTTATATCGGCGAAAATAAAGTAAGTGTAGTTTAAGAAGAAAATATATATAACATAGTCATCAACTTGATGTTAACTGGAGTTAATTGCATATTCTTAGATTAAAGACATTGATCAACTCGATGCCATTAAGGATCTGAAGTTGGATGAATTGAAGATGGCTGGAAATCCCGTCTGTAACAAGTATAAATCTCGACAAAATGATTATGTCAGGTAATGTAATGCTCCAACGTAATCTTTTCTTTCGTCGCAAAACACAGGGAGTATTAAGAATAATCTGTTAATCTGCTCGCGAGATTCCGGCATAGTGATTGTGTTATATTTGCTTTGATAACATCCTAAACAGGGTTGGTAAAATTCCACTTTTTTTTATAAATTAGCTGTCTTATAAGATATTAAATGGTAAATTAGATTTAAATTAGTAACAAAATTTTTAATGCTACTAATATTTTATTTTGTAAATGGAAACAGCTCATTTGTATAATATATATATATATATTTTTTTTGTTTAACATTTATCTGTAAAGTTTGTTTTAAAAATGTTTAATGTTTTCAAAATTTATTTTACAATTTGAAAAGATTTTATTATTAAATTGGTTTTATTTTTTTTTTTTAATCTGTTAATAATGATTTACTAATTAAAGCAAAAATATGTTTTTGCATAAAGTTATATAATGTTACATATTAATCATTTTTATAGTTTTTGCCAGTTTATTCTAGTCCATGGAACGTTAACGTTTAGAACGATGAAAACCGGAATTTTTATTATGGTTTTTGTCACTCGCTTTTCTAGCCAACCCTGATTTTAAGTTAAATATCTTTAAATTAAGCTTAGTTCTTTATTAAATCAAATAGATTTGCTGTTTAATTATGTAAATTATCAAATATTAAATTATAATTTTTATCAAATGCAATATTATTGCACGATTAATTTTTTAAATGTTTTAAATAAACAATTTGTACTTTGTTTTTTTTCTAATATTTATACTGATGTTTTTGTTTTTATTATTTGTTATTGCTTCGCACAAGTGGATTTACCCTTTTCAATTCTAGCGATGTACGACGACGCTTTCCAAAACTGCTGCGCTTGGTAAGTACCATGCATGTTGTAACATATGTGCATATTCAAAACTTTATATCCTCTCGCGTCATACGTTTTTCTTTACTCCGCACAACAGGATGACGTCGAATTGCCACGACCGATCGTCTTTGATGTTGTTGATGAAGCTGCCAAGATGCCTCCACCACAGAGGATGTTTGTTGCCGATGGAAAAGCGCAAGAGATAGCGAGTCAGTTTTTGCATCAGTATTTTACGATATTTGATACTGAAAATCGTCAACCTCTACTTGATGCGTATGACGAACATGCAAGCTTTAGCATGACGATAAACACTGCCCACAATAATAAGTAAGTGTTTGTGCAACATTAACTATTTTATTTTCTCTTTATTCCTGCATCATGAATATATCAATGTTCTTTATTGAGTACGACGGAAAATTATTAAATCAAAATTTATATATTTTTTGTTGCAGATTGAATGGTTATATCAGGGAAAATCGAAACCTGTTCAGAGTAAATGACATCACCAGACGACAGAAATTGTTAAAACAGGGGAGATTGCATGTAGTTTCTTTTGTATCAGAAATGCCGCGAACAAGGCATTTGTTTAATACCTTTACGATGGACATCTCTCTTGCTACAGTTAGTATTTGTGTTGTATTTATTATTACTCGTTACAAGTGATAAAGGTAGACTCATATTATAATTTACTTTTTGTTTGTCCACAGCAATCGATGATGTTCATTACGATAACGGGTTACTTCCAAGAACTCGATAACAAAGACGAACTAATTCGTTACTTTAATAGAACTTTCATAATCGTCCCGGAAAGCAAAGGGTATCGCATTCGAAATGAGCAGTTGCACATTAGTCAGCCATCCGAGGAACTAGTGAAGCAACTGCATCAACAGTTTAGTCAGCTAAACAGTCAGCCAACCCAGCCAGAGGCACCGGCGCTGGGATCCGCGGAAGTAGCGAAGTCCATAGTCTCAGAACTTAGTAACGATATAAAGCAGCAGATGACGATGGCGTTAAGCCAGCAGACAAATATGAATCTAGAATGGAGTTTGAAGTGCTTACAAGAGAGGCAATGGAACTACGACAACGCACTCTCGGCCTTTCAAGAGTGCCACAAACGTGGAGAGGTACCGTTAGAAGCGTTTACGAAATAAACACGTATAAAATGGTTAAAAATCACAATTTCAATCTCATTGCAATCTCAACATGCAAGAAAAGTCATGTTTATTTTTCGTATTGTGATTTTTAACGAATTTCATATATAGTATAGAATATAGATATAGTACCTTGTTTAAGCAGCGCTAATGAAAATTAATGTAATGCTATTGTTTTTTAAAAAAATTATTTGTGTACCAAAGTTTTTTTGGAAAATCTTGTTTATGTAAGAAAGCTTACAAAAATGTCCCTGTTAACGTTATTTACTTTAAAATAAAAGTATTGTATTATAGTTGTAATAAGACAAATTTTTGGGATAATATGATGTATAAAATCATTTATGTTGTTATATATACATATATATACATTTATGTATATATATGTATATATAACGACATAAATGATTATATATTACGACAGGTGATTAACTGAATATTAAAAAAAAAATTTTTTTTTGGGTAGTTAATTATATACTTTTTATTGGTGCTGTTTGATAAATATACTATGTATGAAACATAATTTAGGTTAGGTTTGTTTATATCTGCATTTGATAGTAAGACAATTGGATTCTTGATATATTGATTAATATGAGAAATATCGTAGTAATAATAGGTATAACAATATTTTATTACAAATGTCCGTTTTTCAGGTTTTGATACATAATATAAAAAAAAAATTTTTAAAACGTTCAAGATAAGAAAAAGAGAAAAAATTTAGTTAGGTTTAATTAAGTTTAATTAGGTCTTTATTAGGGAAAAAGAAATTATATATTTCGCATTCATAATCAAATTTTTAGTATAATATAACATAACATATGTATAATATGCGTGTTGTGTTATATAATATTAAAAGTAAAATATAAGATTAACAGCAAGACATTTTCTGGTGTGTAAAAAATTTACGTATCATTTGGTCTAAAATTTTCTGATATATTTCTTATCACACACATTTAACGTTTGCATCACATGAACAAAGAGAAAAATTTATATTCTATTAGCATCTTTACATATCCGATTCGTTCAATATTTTATATTTCTTCAAAGTTCATGGAGCACGCTATTAACGCTATTTAGCGTTTTGTCTCTTATTGTATCTTTATAATTCATTAGATGTAAAACAAGGAAAGAATGATAAAATAACACTGAATAGCGCTGATAGCGTACTTCCCGAACGCGTACATTCAACATGAAATACATTTCAATGTTAAATATATTTCTATATATATAAAAAAAATTTAAATTTAAAAAATTAAATTTACAGATAAGAAAGATATAGATACTTTTATTGAAAAACAATGTAAAAAACAAAATTTTTATATTATATTTGTATGGTTGGATTCCTATATATAGTATATATATATTTTTTTAGTAAGAAAAAGTATCTTTATCTTTTTCTATAAAAAGAAAAAGATCTTACAATCAGATTGTACCTGTAACAAAGGGCATCTTTACAATATTCTCTGTACTATTTACATCTAACATCAGCATACAATTCTCAAGCAATTTTTTTAACAGATTAAGTAAAAGACTGATACAGTTCTTTTTGCATATTTAAAGTTCAATTTTCAGATGTACAATTTACGTTTTTGGTCTACTAACCGGATTTTATTATGCGCACAGATAAAAGTCAAATTTTTACATGCTTAAATTCATCGAAGTCTCGAGAGTAATGTAATTCAGTTAGCGGAATATTTTATTATATGTATTTATGTATATTGAATAATCTTTATGGAGATAATGCAATTTTGTAGAAAGTATAGCCAAACAGATTTTCTCAAAATTGTCATTTTACATGTACGTCGATATAAATAGCAACTGAATATCTTTTCGTAATTTGTTAAATAGCGTCATAGAGTATAGGTTTTGTGCGCCCGTAAGTCGCTAGGCATGCGTTAGGTAAAACGGAGCTCGCTTACAATTATGTGAGTATAAATTATTCGACTGGGAATTAATATTCGTGATCGACTCAATTTTTTGTTATTTGTATATTTCGCGACATGTGTTAACATTACGTATATCCGATACGCAATTTTTATCCTATTGAAAATGCGATTTGCATTCCACACCGCATACACACACATGCACAAACACATCTATGGAACAACAAAGTGATAGGAACGTCGTATACCAGGATGATGTTCTGAAAAGTTTCGACTTCGGAACAGTATCCTGGTATTCCGAGTCAGGGTAGTCCTCGGAACTCTCGGAAGTCCAGGTGACTGCGTTACGTGTCGGAAAATCGATCGTATCGCATTTCGAATGCCCAGGTATCTCATCTGGTACACTGGTATATTCAGCTGGAATGATGATCGGCGGTAGTGTACGTTTGAGAGGACTTTTGAAGGATAGAAGATTTTGTTCCACGGAACGAAATGAGAAGTACGATGTACTGCACACTTGATTAAGCACATCGCAGTCTACATATATGCCCATGGTATATATGTGCGCAGCTTAATACCATTTACCTTTCTGCATCTCTCTTGATTGTCAAGAGACAAATCTTTGTGCTTAAGAGCAAGAACTGATCTTTGGAATGTGCGGATGTGTTGTTGAACAGATATTTATGACCGTATCACACACTTTATTAATGACAATTCGCGTTATAACGTCGGAAATTATAATATCGCATCCACCTGAATGGTGAGAGAGAGAAAGAGAGAGAGAGAGAGAGAGAGAGAGAGAGAGCGCGCAAAGAGGAATAATTTATACTCACACATTAGTACGCGACAAATTTAATAAGAAAAAAAGTATGTATTAGGCATGTATTTTGACTGGATGTTAACACGCGCGAAGTATTAAAAAGACTTGTATACATTTACGCAGAATATACAAATCGCTAAATGTGATCGAACAAACAAAATATTGTTTTTTTATGTTGATTGAGCGAGGAAAATGATTAATAAATACTTTCGATTTGTAAAACTTGTGCAAGTAGAAAAAAAAATGTATTTTCAATGTTACATAAATAACAATTATCGTTCTTGCATCGCAAGAGGAAATAAATATGAAATTATTAATTATTATTATAACTAATGGGTGACAATGATGTAAAACTTACAAATAATGATTATATATAATGTAAATATCTCTATTAATAAGTGTCATTAATATAGTATATTGAGCATTGTTTGCACGGCCAATACTTGATTGTGTAATATGAATAAAAAATATGTTACAATATTTTATATATAAATCATGTATTTGTATACTGTACCTGTAACTTAAGCTCGAGAATCCTTCTCTTGAAAGCTCTTTAGCTTTAGTATAATTATGACAGACTCATAGAAAAATTTAATACTGTAGGTATATCTAGTTTAAGTTTTTAAGATGTCATAAGCCAATCACAGAGCGTGCCGTATTAACATCTTAAGACACTTAAAATGGTCTCTAAATAACTAAGAATTACCGACTATGAATTTTTCAAAAATTCCATAAACGTGGACAGGTACCATCAGAAGTGTTTACGAAGTAACAATAAAAATAACGTTTTATATATTTGACAGAAAATGTGAATTATTCAATCTATTTTAAAATTACTAAATTTATAGGTGGCTTATATTTATAATAACGAATTTTGAACACTTTTACATGGAGACTCCAGTTTATACGAAATGCGCGCCGTATAAAAACGATAGTTAATTCTACCGAAAAAAGACGAAACTTTTAAGAAAATTTTATTATTAAATTTTGATAGTTCTTTTACATAGAAATTTCAGTTTATACATAATTCTGGTATAAAAACGATAGTTCTATCTACAAAACATAATTTAGTATAATATTAGAATTAGAATATATATACATTCTAAGACATTCCTTTCGAGGAAAATTATATTAAAATTCTATAGCATATTATTATATACCATAAACTATATTAATAGTTTTCTAGTAAAATTTTCGTCGAAAGCTTCTTATACGAAAAATTTTCTCCCGAATCAATGCACATTAAAACCATATTTTCTATTTGTGTTAATTAGAAATTAAAAACTATGTTGCTGTGTCTATAACATCTCCGTCTTCAGCTATTATTTCTTACAATTATCACAATTTATACTGCAATACTATAAATGATGTAGAAACTCCGCTCTTTGTACATGATTTTTTATTAAGTCTTGTATTAAAATTTTCTTTTTCCAACTAAATAATATAATTAAGCGTGAAAAAATTTTTTCGAATTTAAAAAGTGCATAAATAGCACATTATAATTTAACAAATTCATTAAACTTTAATTTCAATTCTATTTTTAATTTATTAAATTTATTATATCTAATGGGAGGACCCAAATAGTACAATTCTTTCTTCCGCTTGATCAATCGAATACTTGCAAGCGCTCGTGGCGAGCTACATTTTGAAACGATATATATACACTTATATTCAAGCGTTAGAAAGAGAGAAGGACGGTAAAGGTTCAAAGAGCGCGGTCAACACGACAGCCTATATCAGGGGTTACAAACTCCTATTGTTCTCGTTTACCAGTGTTTGCAGCGCCATCACATTCTTACAGGGCTAAAATGAGAATTAAATGTTCCGCCATGTTGATAAATAAATAAATACTTTA